GGTTTAAATCCTGTACCCACGAATATTACGTATTTATAGGCGAGTTTTTAACATGATTTTAGTAAGATCAAGGATGTGCATTTGGTTTTCGTCTCTTTAAGCATGCGTTAGAGGCACATTCGTAGGGGATGTGAGTGTAATATTGCGCATGTAGTGGTGTGTGTACCGTGTAATAAAAAAAAAGAGAATCCATGAAATGCCATTGACAAGTACCCTAATCCCAGAAATGCCGTCAACAAGCACAACTTCCTGAAAGTGCCATTATACAAGCCTATTTGTCCCAGAAATGCCATCACAGTCAACGCACTGTTTAGTCCACACTGTTAGAACAAAAAAAGTTTACAAAAATGACTAAATCGCCCTCACTCCAAATTATACTATCTCAATCCGTTAAAAGAAAAGAAATTGGAAAAATAAGAAGACAGCCCTAAACCTAACACGATGGGTGACAGGGGCGATGCGGTGGCCCCAGGCGGTGGCGCGGCGGCCCTCAGCGGCGATGCGGCGCTCCCAGGAGTATTAGATGCTTAAGCAGATGGAGAAAGACGGGGACGCGGTGGAGTCGCTGGCGGTCGATTTGGAGGCAATGGTCGGGAGCATGGAGAATGCCGGTGACGGTGGCCTGCAGTGGCTGAAGTCTGTCAGCCTCGACATGCTTGGCGGGATCATGGACTCCGGCCCGAGCCCCGGCGCCGGGCACTAGACGCCGGCGGTGGCAGGGGTTTTGGGAATTGGGATCCATCAGCGATGGAGCACGCATGCAGGCTGAATTGAGGGAAAGCCTATGGGTGTGTTTAGTTCACGTCAAAATTGGAAGTTTGGTTGAAATTGGAACGATGTGACGGAAAAGTTGGAAGTTTATGTGTGTAGGAAAGTTTTGATGTGATGGAAAGTTGGAAGTTTGAAGAAAAATTTTAAAACTAAACTTGGCCTATGTTTTTCATGTCCCTTTGCTCTGTATTACATTTGTTCTTTTATGTTAAGTACCCAGACAGCAAATGCTCAACTAGCAAATGCTCAAATGCTCAACTCCCCGTCTCTCTCCATCCGCTTTAGGGTTTTTTTCAGGCCCAAATCCTCGCTTAAGCATCATAATTGCTACTTTGTGTGTTGATTGCCCTGATGTGGGTTACATGAAAGTAGTATCGAATTTTGACATGATTATTAGTCTGCACGTTCAATGCCTGAAAAATGATTGATGGTAGCTCTATTTTATTGTCAGGCAGTCTACCTATTGTACTCAACTCTGAAACCATGTTTTGTTATTTAGCTCAGATTGATAACAAAATTTCTAAAATCATTGATAGCCTGATTTCTGCTCATATCACAACCCTGATAATTGATAGCGAAATTTCTGAAATAATTTTGATGGCAAAATTTGTGAATTTAATTTTGAAATAATTTGATTGATAGCAAAATAATTATGTCTGAATTCAAATATGCATCAATGCAAAAATAATGTTGTGTGGGCAAACAATACAGAATGATGAGTGAGCAAATGTTTGCCCAGGGGTAATATTGTCTTTTCATACAACTTAACGGAGAGAAGTTAACAACAGTTTGGCTGTAATGGCATTTCTTGGATTAGGGTGCTTGTCAATGGCATTTCATGGATTTTCTCAAAAAGAGAAAACATTTACTACAAGACACGCAAAAAAACGTGTAATTGGCTGAGGGACACCACAAAAACGTGACACTGCCCATGGACACTGCAAAAGTTATGTAATTGGCCGTATAACACCGAACACATTATTTTATCATTTTCGAGATGAAAGTGGTGAGATTTTTATTGAATTGTCCGGATTGCCCCCCAAGTGTCGATGACTTCACCGTTGTATGCTTGTCCATCTTCCTGTTCTGCGTGCTCACCGCTTCTGTCATCGTCTTGAAGGCGTGCGTCTATGCTGCCTTGGCCGCGCTGGTCCCTTCCAAAATTCGAGCAAAGATGGGGTCATCGAGGATGGCGAGGACAAGCTGGGACAGCTCGACCTTGACGGCAGTGAGAGTTGCGGCCGTGGGAGAGGATCTCGGTGATGTGGCAGCAGTTCTCCTCCCCAACGCCGGCAAGGTTCCCGGCCGGCGAAGGGACATCAACGTCATCCACGGTGGCGAAGCTGCAGAGGAAGAGAGGCGGCGGGTGGGTGCACGTGGGGAGGCGGCCGAGGAGTGGCATGGGTGGAGCCGGACGGAGGATGGTGAGCTTGATGTCCCTGCTGCGGAATCCGGCCTCAGGGAAGACACGACTGATGATGGGGTCATTGAGGATGGCGAGGACAAGCTAGGAGAGCTCGACCTTGACAGCGGCGGGAGTTTGGGCGGTGGTGGCCTGGTGGTAGAAGTGGAAGGTGTCCGGGTTGCGGCGCTGGTTGGCCTGGGAGTGCTTGATGGCGGCCATGAGGGAGTTGGAGACGGGGGGTTCATCGGCGTAGAGGCAAAGGAGGAGGAGGCGGAGACGGAGGGGAGCCTATCGAGGGAGACAACGAAGCAGAGGTCGAGGGCCTTGAGTTGGATGCGTGGGGAGTAGGCGGCGCTGTGGGTGCGGGCGAGGGCGTCGCGGTGAGGAGGGAGGAGATGAGGTGGAGGGAGGTGGTCTGGGCGTGGGCGCGGTGGCCGGTGGAGGTGACGATGGCGTCGTGGGCAGGGACGGCGGCCGACGAGAGGCACTGCCTCGTTGTAGCCACCGGATTGGGCATCGCTGACTCTCTCACCGAATCGATCGGATTTTGGAAGGGATGCAGTGGCGTCGGTCGGCATTGGGCGCTGGCGAGAGGAGGATGACGACACTGAGCGTGGGTCCACATGTCGGCTGCATTGAGAGAAAGGAATAAGGAGTACAGGGGCATTCCCATCATTTCAAAATTTCTCTCCCCTCTTTCAGCCCAGAAATTATAAAATAATGCCTTTGGTGTCCTAAACTACACAACTTTTGTACTGTCCATCGGCAGTGTCACATTTTTACAGTGTCTCTTAGACAATTACACGATTTTTGAGTATCCTATAGCAATTTTTTCCTAAAAAAAACAGTAGAAACTGAGCCCTAGCGAGGCAATATAATTAGCTATTCCCATCCCAGGTGTACGTAGTTCCACCCGTGGTAGTCCCGTATCCATGCAATCCACACTAGTAGAATATGAAAGATGATCCTCTAATGTTCGCCGTGACTGACATGTGGGCCTCACCACTTTCGGGCCCACATGTCAGCCACCAAGTTAGTGAGAAGTTATGTCAGAGGATCTCAATCCAGTTGAATATATATGCTAGATTGTTCTGAGTATATATATATAGCTGCCACTTGATGCTAACTAAACACGCCAGTGAAGCTAGTGATAGCTAGCTTTAGAGTTGAGACGTGCCCAAACTGTATCTTTTATTTGATTAAAGCACTCTCTTTTGCGTGCATAATTGAACGATCGCCCAATGAACAGATCCGGAGAGAGCCGGTTTCAAATCCTGTCCTGTTCAAGTTTCAATTTGGAGAAAGCGAAAGAAGAAATTATTAACGACTCCCTGCCACTCTACGAGGTTATAAAACATTAGAACTTAGTACTCATATATAGGAAAGCAAAGCTTACCGATGCTCATTGATCCCCTCCATTTATACTCATTGCTTTAATCTTGACCATTAGTTCGACTATGGAGTTGTTTCTGTAGTGAATAAAAGCATAAATCTTCCTCCGTTTCATAACGTGAGTCTTTCTAGTATTGTCCATATATTTATAGAGATGCTAATGAATTTAAATATATATATGTGTCTATATTTATTAACATCTATATAAATATGATGAGTAATGCTAGAAAGTCTTACATTATGAAATGAAGGGAGTATAACGTTATACTACACAAATAGATTTCTAAAGATTAATGATCGAACTTAAAATGGTTAATTTAGATAAGACGACAAATAATTCGAAAGCGGGTAGCTGTACCTTTATCCATCCTCTCATTCCCTCTGCAGTACGGCGCCGACATACGGTGGTACACATGACATGAAACACAGACATTTTGAAGCCAGGAAACCAGGTATAAACATTATTCGTTTTTTACCTCATAAAGAAAAGCGCACACGAAAGAAAGCGAAGAGCCCGGCCCTGTGTTCGGCTCCTGTTGGAAACTAAGGCTCTGTTCACTTTGATGTCATTTTTGATCTTACCAAATTTTGATAAAGTTATCAAAAAAGTAGCTATATTTAGTTTGCTGTCAAATTTTAGTGAGTATATAATTTTGGCAACTATGTCAAAATTTTGGCAATGCCAAATTTTAGTAAGTCTTTTTTTGCATTAAAGAGAACATGCCCTAATACTCTGTCCATATAAAATGGGTGTACTCCCTCCGTACTCGTAAAGAAATTCGTTTCGGACAGTGACACGGTCTCGTTTGGACAGCGATACGGTCTCCGAAACATAACTTTGACTTCTTGTTTCTATAGAAATATTTATTGAAAAGTGATATATGTATACTTTTATGAAAGTATTTTTCAAAACAAATATATTCATATAATTTTTACATTTTTAAACTCAACAACTTGATAGTTATTTATGATTTATATTCCCAAGGTTTAACTTAAACATTGTGCTAAACGACTTCCTTTACGAGTACGGAGGGAGTATTCATTAGCATATATAATTAATTAAGTATTAGTTATTTTTAAATAGGTTAATATAATTTTTAAAGTAGCTTTCGTATAGAAAATTTTTAAAGAAACACACCGTTTAGAAATTTAAAAAGCGTGCGCGTAAAAAAACGAGAGATGAATTAGGGAAGTGAAAAAAAACCTCAACAAAGCCCCTGTCCCTGCCTACCTGGCCCCACACGTCAGCACCGTTCCAAATTCCAATTCCTTGCTTCCCTCGCCGGCCACCCCCGCTCGATCCGCATCTGCGCCGCAAAAAGAAAGAGAAAGAAAAAAAAAAAAAGCAAAGCGAAGCACAATCTCCTCCTCCTCCCTTCTCCTCCCCTCGAAGAAAGAAAGAAAGAAGGCCAAAGCGGCAAAAGCGAAAAAGCGCGCACTCCGCACTCACACTCCCCCCTCCCTCCCGCTTAAGAAGATGCCTTGCCCCCATCTCCTCCTCCCCTTCCTCGCCGATCCTCACCACCACCACCGCCGCCACCGCCGCCAACGCCGCCGCGGCGTTGGTCTCGATCGTTGTCGAATAGGGAGGAGGGGGTACGTTGGTCGTCGTCGTCGTTGTCGTAGTCGCCGCCGCGGGGCGGGGGAGGCATGGCGACGGGGGGAGGGGGGTTGTCGGGGCCGCAGCCGTCGCTGCGGCGGGGCTTGTCGAGGGCGTTCACCATGAGGCCGGAGGGGTACTCCGGGGAGGACGGCGGGGAGTACAGCGAGGAGAGCGAGCTGGTGCCTAACTCGCTCGCCCCCATCGTCCCCATCCTCCGCGCCGCCAACGAGATCGAGGAGGAGAACCAGCGCGTCGCCTACCTCTGTGCGTGCTCTGCGTTCCCCTTTCCCTTTTTTTTTTTTACTTCTCTCCTATGATTTCGCTATCTGTTGCCTGCATGCGCAGCTATGCTCGCTCGTTGACACATATTGGTGTTTTTTTAATTAAAAAAATCTATAGAAAATTTGCTTAAAATTCATATTAATTCATTTTTCAAATTTATTTTAGTTGATGCTTAATTAATCATACTCTAATGAATTGCTCCGTATTACATGCACGGACGCAGCCGACCACACCATTTAGGTAGTCTAGTGCCATCATGAATGTTCTGAGCCAGTGAGCCTTGGAAATTGGAAGAATCTCATTTCGCAGCTATAGTATCGATTGCAGAATTATTTTTATTTTTTTTTCTGTTTATGTAAGAAATGTGCATGTTTATCTCCCTTGTATACCTCTGCTTTGAACTTAGCCTATTGTGATGACTTGACTGTGGTTTTTGGTTGGTGGCTTGGTGCTTGCTAAAAGGTCGGTTTACCGCGTTCGAGAAGGCTCACACCATGGATCCAAACTCAGGTGGACGAGGAGTTCGGCAATTCAAAACATACCTCTTGCATAGGCTGGAGAAGGTATCTGCTTTTCCTGCTATTCCTCCACCTATCTATCAATGAGCACACGTAACAAACGTCTTTCCCAAGTGGCATGTAAGTGTTTGAAAGTAGCTACGTGCAGGAATCACATAGCTTTTGTTGTTAAGTGCATGTGTATTTCTTGTGATGGTGTTAAACTGTTTGAACTTTTATGATGTGAAATGGAAATGCAAACAAATTGCAGTAAGCACCTGGAATCGTGACACAAATAAACAATAATGATGTGCCTGAATAATTTAACTATTGAGAGAGACTGTTGCGCCGAAAGAAAATTTCTGCACCTCGATATGCAGTTTGCAATGTTATCCTTAGAAGGTGAAATGTAGCAGTTCGTCTACTTTACACCCTAAAGTATAGTACCACGTAATATAAAAGGAAGAAAAAGAACCCACTGGGCTAGTTCCGTGGCAGTATTGCCACTGTGGAGGATAACACGGCCAGCAGCATGGATATGACTCAACAATGTGTAAAATTTGTCTTGAATGTGGGCCCCCTTTCTCTATGAAGTCTCTCTTCTTCCCCTTTCTACCCTCTGTCTCATTCTGCCACCTCCTGGTTACCGCCATGGATGCCTCCATCAACAGTCTCTGATCCATGCTGGTGCAACGCACCTAAGCTTCCTCATATGCTCTCTCTTTCTCCCCTCATATGCTATTAGCATGATGAGATCTGGATGTGCAAAAGAAGGGTCTAATCAGAGTCAACAGGTGACACAGGGTGGTGAGAGATTGATACAATTTCATACCAACAATATCGCGCCCAAGCTATGAGAGCAATAAATCTCCTGCAATTTCGATCCTACCACGTACCAAAAGTATGTTCTCAACTAGTCACGAGGAAATCGGTAATTGTTAAAATGGTAAGATGACTTAAAGCTACTTGATGAAGTATGTGTCAGTAGAATTGCGGAGCTAAGTCTGGTCTTAGAATAGACGGTCAGAGCGGTTGTGCTTTCGGCAATAGCAACTATGAACCTGAGGAATGCCAAGATGCCCATGGGAAGCAGGCTCGGTGCAAGCCCTGAGATGATTGAGAGGAATATGTCACTAATGCTCTTACTCATAGTTGAAAAGACTGGACCAGTGAGTGACCCGGTCAACCTCTTGGTTCACTGGTCCGACGGTCTGACTGGTGAACCGGCCGGTCTAACCGTGGTTCGCTACTAGATAAAAATTACTTTATATTCTCGTATCAGAACTAACAACCTAATGCTTGGATGGCTACCGGAGTCAACTTCAAACCCACCACCAGGGTTTGACTCCCCACCATTCCCTTTTTCTTGGTCATTTTTGCCTAAATATCTAGTTATTTCGGGCCTTCGAATTAAATGGGCCTTCTTCCGGCCCATTTAAGCAATTCAGATGTCTAGGCCGGTCCGATCGAGGCTGGTTTATCACCGGTTCACTTAAAACTGGCCGGTTCAAGCGGTCTAAAGCGGGTCAATTACATGTCCAGTCTTTCCATCCAACCGAACCGCGCTGACCTCTGGTTCCGGTTTTTTCCGGTCCAAACACCGGGCCGGTCTGGTTTTTTTCACTATGCTCTTACCTCACAAGCAGCATGGCAGAGATGCGGGGAATGTGCTCTTTTTTTTCTCCATAACAAACAGAGGGGGGGGGGGGGTGAAAGATGAGAAAGAACAAGAGTATACCACTGACATAGGGGCCCACTGTGCAAGAGATATTTTATATATTTGATTTGCTGAGTCACTATCATGTTGCCAGCTTGATCTGCCATGCTGGCAATACGCCTACATTTGCTCTGGTTTTTGTTAGTTAAGGTGGTACGATACCTAGTGTTCAGGGTGCTAAGGAAATAAACCATTACACTTGAGGGATTTAAGTAGATATTTTCCCTATTGAAGTTATTCTCACTTGCACTGCAAATCTTAGTAATGGAGAGTCTCTATTTTAATTGCATATTAATTGTGTATGATTAATTATAGAGTAAGGACCCACCTTTATATCTCATCTTTCCAAACTAGAGGATGAATGGCCATGATGCTTTATAGCATCCATGTAGTTTAAATTTGTTCCTTTTATATTAGTACAGAGGAATGGGCAGAGCTTCTGTGGCCCTGCCATCTGTTTCAGAAAAAAAAAATTCCTCTAATCAAGTATGATTTTTTGAAGATTACAAAATGTTACTTTCTCACAGTCCTTGCTTGCAGCATAAAGCACCAAAAGCCTGATTTTATGTGACCCCCAGAGAGTACTTTGCCAACTGGCCTTACAGTTTTACCATACGGTCAGAGGTTTCACAATCCCATAGTTCCGTTACCCACTAGAATTCGCATGGCAGTGTCTAGAATTTCTCCCAAACCAGGTATCACTTGGTGTCCTGTTTTTGTTGGAGTTAGTTACCGGTGATAGCTTGTCTTGATACTAGTGGAGACAATATTTCTATTAAGCTTGCAATAGTGATTCGTGCAAAAAGAAATGAGTCTCCATTATTTTCCAGAACACCATTGTGAAGTGAGAAGTTATAATTAACTCCACAAGGAATAAACTGGAATAAAGTTTTCATGTAGAAGATTAATATAAAGCCCCAAATCTTTTAACATTCTTCCTTACTCAGATTAGAAGTGCTTCAGCATGTTAATTGCTCCTATTCACTTTCAACATATATGCATTGCATGGTTTGACGTTTGTTATTTCACAGGATGAACACGAGACACAGCGCAGACTTGCAGGAACAGATGCGAAAGAGATTCAGCGGTTTTATGAGCATTATTGTAAAAAAAATCTTGTGGACGGTCTTAAGACAAAAAAACCGTAAGACTGGCCATTGTTGCATCGCATTAACTATCTCTCGGTGCAAAACTACAAATGGCTCAGACTTTATCAATGTTCTCATACTATTCTTTGAATGCCTTAGGGAGGAGATGGCTAGACACTATCAGATTGCGTCCGTCCTATATGATGTGCTAAAAACCGTGACACCTGAAAAATTTCACGCTGAGGTTCTGCATTCTGCATCCAGTAATTACAAATAATTGCAAGATATTATTGATTTTCCCAGTTTCTGTAAATCATGAAATATGATAATATTGAACAACTGGTTGCAGTTTGATATATATGCTAAAGAGGTTGAAAAGGAGAAAGCTTCCTTCTCACACTACAACATTCTACCCCTTAATATTTCTGGTCAGCGACAACCAGTAATGGAAATTCCTGAGGTCATGTACTTTAAAATTTATTTTAAAAATACCACATTTATTTCATAAATAACATAAGTAGTAAAAGTGATCTGCTCTAAAATTGGCAGATTAAAGCAGCAGTGGACCTTCTTCGCAAGATAGACGGCCTCCCGATGCCAAGGCTTGATCCAGTTTCTGCTGAAAAAGAGACAGATGTACCTACTGTCCGTGATTTGTTTGATTGGCTCTGGCTGACATTTGGATTTCAGGTGCAAAATAAACTAATGCCTTTTTTTCACTTTCTTCAATCGTACTCAATTACTTAACTTAATCCAAAAGTTTGCATGATTGCATGATCCAAAAGTTTATTGCATTGAACTATTTCCTTTTTTAGAACTTTTCTATTTAAACAAATTATGCATATCAACTTGCAAAGTATAAAAGTTTCAGTACTTCATTGGGTATGGAACTAAGTTTAGTTTGCACGACTGCGTGCTCTGGAACCTTCTGATTCTCCATTCGTTTTTTCTGAACTATTTCCATTTTATAGAACTTTTTTTTCTCTAAACCAGTTATTGATATCAATTTGTGAAGTATAAATATTGAGTACTTCATTGGTTATGTAACTCAGAAGTTTTAATGATATGGAAATGAAAACATACACGGTGCGGTCACATCATATAATAATTCTTGCAAGACTTACAATTTTGGTTATTCCTGAACCATGTTCATTGATGATGTTAATATCATATTTAAAGTAAATTCCTTCATGTAAATTCTTTATGCAATGCACCAAACATCTGTTAATTACATGGCAGTGTTAACTAAATAGTTTGTACCTATCATTGCTGCACTCATGGGAAATATATTTTTTGTCTCTAACATGCTGTAGATACAATAATTGTGGTGGCTTTGAGTTGGATGGCTAGACACCACTGTTTATCTTTGAACACCTACCCTGTTTGTTTAGTATTTGATACATGCTTTGATTTGTTGTTACAGAAAGGCAATGTTGAGAATCAGAAGGAGCATTTGATTTTGCTGCTTGCAAATATTGATATGAGAAAAGGGGCTAATGCCTACCAAAGTGACAGACACAATCATGTGGTAAACATTCTCTTTGAAGCTTCATTTAATATCACTAATCTTGAGTGAGCTTGTTGCCTTTTCACACATCATTCTCAGTCCGCATAAATGTAAGAATATTAAACTGATTCATGAACTTCTAGTATGGCTCGCAGATGCATAGTGATACAGTTAGATCCTTGATGAGGAAAATCTTTGAAAACTACATTTCTTGGTGCCGATATTTACATTTGGAGTCAAACATAAAGTAAGTACCACTAATGATCATTGCACATCTGGTGCTCAAAATCTGCAACCTTGTCAACTGAGAATATTGACATTGCAGAATTCCAAACGATGCCTCCACACAACAACCTGAGATTCTTTACATAGGGTTGTATTTGCTGATCTGGGGTGAAGCTTCTAATGTTCGCTTTATGCCTGAATGTATTTGTTATATCTTCCATCATGTAAGTGATTTTTTTTCTATTATATTTGAGGTAAATTCAATTTATGATACATCCTTTCATTCACTTGTGGCTCTACTCTGTTTTATCGAAAATCTGTTATGATCAATTCCTTTTTTTGTAACTGCACTTTTGGCAGTAATACTGACAAGGCAGTTAATGCCAAATATTGTTGGTTTATAGAGCATTAGAGCTATGTTGGCTTCTCTGCTTCAATACTGCGTGCATATGAAATTTTTTTTTCTGTACTGCTCTTTGTATCATGCCAGTCTAATTTGTCTATGTATAAACTGATTATATCGTGTCGAGAAGTATCGTTTTCATCCAAACCTTAAGGTTATGATGCCATGTCACTCTAGAGTAATGAGAAAAACAAATTAACTTCTTACTTCTGAGTAATGTGAAATATAAACTTTTGCCATCTTGTGCAAAGTGATGCTACATGCAATTGCAGATATATCAACTCTTTACATTTATTGCATATTTCAGAGCCATCAGTACAAGAACACAATTATACCCATGTGTTTATTCATGGAACATGTGTAAGCTGCTTAGGAATGGGCATAAACTCCAAGAGAACCTATTTAAAGACTGAAGTGTATAAAAGTTGTGGACATGGCCCCGCTGGGCCAGTGCGCATAGAAGCTAATGTTATGGCTGGCAGTAGTTAAATGGAATAATAAGTTCAAGTTTGTTTCCTTGGGATCAAAGTTGAGTCACCCTTACAAAAATGGATAGCATGTAATCACCATTAGCTAATCAAGAAATATACTTCATGCCTCTATTTGCTATGTGTCAACTAGTTCTCTCATAGCAATCAATGTCTACCTCTCCCTTCTAATACCCTAATGACCTAATCCGTTTCAAGCCACTAGTGATTATCCCCATAAACAAGCTTAACATTATCAAAATAAGACATTCCCACCAGTTGTTTGACAAATAAAATGATGTATGTTTTTCTTTTCTATTCTTTTATAAATTTTTTCTTACACAGACCGCTAGACTAATACCGTGCATATGCACTAAACATACACTAACTCTTTTATTAATCATTTTCACCCTAATTCACGAGTTAGATGGCAAGGGATTTGTATGACATCATATCTGATAGAAGACAAGATTTTGATCCACCCTTTCGGCGAGAGGGGAGTGATGATGCCTTTCTACAGCTTGTTATTCAACCCATCTACAGTGTTATGAAGCAGGTATGTGCTGATATGTTATATCCTATGTAGCCCCATGTTCTCTGGCTGTATTTATTTATTTTTCATTTGATGTGAAAGGAAGCTGCAATGAATAAACGTGGTAGGACAAGCCACTCAAAGTGGAGAAACTATGATGACCTGAATGAATACTTTTGGTAAGTTGTTCTTAATAGTTCGTTATTGACTTATGGTGCTTTAGTTTTCAGTGGGTTCTAATGTACTATAATTTCAGGAAAAAGGTAATGCTTTATCTGTCACCTTTTTGTCATAACCCTATACAATTTCAGGTCAAAGAGATGCTTCAAACAGCTTAAATGGCCGATGGATTCAGCAGCTGACTTTTTTGCGGTTCCTCTGAAAATTAAAACTGAAGAGGTTAGCAGTTGATCCTTTGTTTTTTTACAACAATGCAATATTTTATCTGGCATGAGAACAAGAAATTCTTGCTTGATTTTACATCATGTGACATAATATTGTTAGAGCATATATCATCAATTTGATGTAGCGATTTCTGTCTAGTATAGTTATTACATACTTTATTCTTTATAGTACGATGGGACTTGTTAAGAAAATGTGGGAGGTGCTTTGAGGATACATCAACGTCATAATATGAGAGAATTTCCTGTATGGCCTTGAGATTTCACTCATTCCCTTTCATACCCTTGAATTTTGCTCATCGACTTCATGCCCTTGAGTTAACTTGAGCATGAGTTGGCTGTTACACTTTCCAAAATGATCACGAAGCCCTTGCCCGCAACCATAATCAATAAGCCTCTGCACTAAAAATAAACCCTCAAAAAAATTCAGCTATATAATTTTTTTCAGAGGATGTGATATTACCTAAATCATTGAAGTCTCAATATTTAACCAAATTTGAAACCCAAAATTGAAAACATTAGTATGAATAAAAAAATGAATGGAACAATCTGTTTGAAATTTACCAAAATAAAAAATATTAGTTTTTGTCTTCAAATACTTGGTGAAAATATCTTCTTTTTAGTTGAATATTTTCACCACCCTCCTTTATTATATCTTGAAATTTGGTTGAATATTAAAAATTCTGACGGTCAACTAACAGAATGAGCAAATAGTGAATCAAAATGAAAATTCAGTACCATGCAAGGGATTATAGAAACTCAATATAGCATAATTTGGTCTTTGGTTTGTACATGTTCCTGGATATAGAACAGTCACTAATGGTAACTGGAAACACTTAGCAGCTAATAAAAATATGAGTAAGTGTAAAGGATAATAATACCAATATATTGGCAGTGAAGGAAAAGAAAGTGAAAAGCATAGTTGAACAAACTAGCAATGCATATCGACGAAAAAGACAGGGATAAAACTCTCGTTGAACATAAAAAACTCGGTTCTTTTGTGAACTAATTACGTGAAACCATTGCTGGAATATCTTTTTTAGATGGAAAGAGAATTTCCATTAACTCTCTTGAGGCATCTGCATTGCCTTCCACACTGCTTTCGTAGCGGAGTGCCATCTGCATTGCCTTCCACACTGCTAATAGCAAAGGATGCATTGCACTTTGTAGATTCTTCAGACGTGTTGCTCAAGCTGCTAGCAGTACACAAGCTGAATATCTTGCCATGCATCCACATCCTCCCAGACTTGTCATTTGAACATATGCTCCATCACAGTTAATTTTAACAAAGAATTAGATGTACAATCATGCAAAGTCACCCAAAGAACAGATGTATGTTTGGTACTGTGTATGTTACCGATATGATCCCTGATCAAAATGAAAGTATATTGGAAGATAATGTAACTAATTTTTGAATTATGCAGCATCATGATCGTGTGATTACCAGACGGAGAATACCCAAAACAAATTTTGTTGAAGTTCGTACATTTTTGCACCTATTCAGAAGTTTTGATCGAATGTGGGCTTTCTTTATATTAGCCTTCCAGGTATATCTATTGCCCTTTGTCTTGCATACAAAGCTTCTATGTCTTCTATCTATTGACCATACCATGCTTCGTTTTATTTTGTAGGCGATGGTAATTGTTGCTTGGAGCCCTTCTGGATTACCGTCTGCTATTTTTGATCCTACTGTTTTCAGAAATGTTTTGACAATATTCATAACGGCTGCATTTCTGAACTTCCTGCAAGGTACATTTTAAGTTTGGAACTTATGAACTTTAAGTATCTTGTGAACTTATTAGCTATTTCAACTTGTGGTTGTTCTATCATGCTCATTCTTAAAGCTTCTATCAACAAAAAAAAATTAATGTTCTGTTTTTAAACCAGATTGGAATCGTATAAACCATTTTACCCCAATAGTTGTCTTAAATCTTTTCGTCTCATATGATTGAGAACATGATAATTATCCATGTACAACTTGATCAGGAAAAGGAGGGCAGATATCCAAACACTCAAGTATCAAAAAGTGATTCAACCAAACAAAATTATCATTACCACCCTCATAATCCCAAATAGTTCCTTAGGTATTTACTCCAAATTTTTTGAAGTAAGGCTTGCTTAACTTTTTTGGGTTAAAAAATTCCATGCAGTTACTTTTATAAATATAAAATATTTACAAAAGAATTACAAAGAATACATAAAAGAGAAGCAAAATTACAATGATTCTACCCAATCAAGTACTGTAATTATTTGGGCAATTGTTCTCGTGTACTCTTGTGCACAATTTATGAAATTATTCTCTTGAACTTTTCAGCCACGCTTGAGATAATTCTTAACTGGAAAGCTTGGAGGAGTCTGGAGTGCTCGCAGATGATACGATATATCCTGAAATTTGTTGTAGCTGTTGCTTGGTTGATAATTCTTCCTACAACGTATATGAGTTCTATTCAAAATTCCACGGGCCTTATCAAGTTCTTCAGCAGCTGGATTGGAAATCTGCAGAGTGAATCGATATATAATTTTGCCGTTGCTCTTTACATGTTACCAAACATATTCAGTGCTTTGTTTTTCATATTTCTACCATTTCGAAGGGTATTGGAGCGTTCAAATTCTCGCATTATTAGATTTTTTTTGTGGTGGACACAGGTAATATTTGATTAGCCCTAACTTAGCAGAGCTATTTGTTGTTGTCAGTTCTCACCCATATCTTTTATTAATCAGCCAAAGCTATATGTTGCCCGAGGCATGTATGAGGATACATGTTCACTTCTAAAGTAAGTCCTAGACTTTCTTGTTACCTAGATTTTGAGTCTTATTATCTCTGTCTAAAGCTGTTTTTTCTCTTCATGAAAACAGGTATACATTATTCTGGATACTATTGCTCATATGCAAGCTCGCCTTCAGTTTCTATGTTGAGGTTGGTATAATCTGAACATTACAGTTCTCTGCTAATTTAAGTATAGGTCAGATTTGCTACCATGTTTCCATGGGTGATTATATGATTTATTATTGACTAACATGTAACTTCTTTTTGCCAAAACTACTGCTTCAAAGAACTCCCTTTTCTTGCTGTGCTTTATAGTAAAAATAAACTAGAATAAAAAATAAAATAAAAAAGAGAAAAGGATTGATTTTGGGTAGGTTTTCTAAATAAAGAGGTGACTGAAACTATAGGCGAGTGCCTGTTACTCATCCGAATGAATTTCTATTCCAATAGTGGATTTTTTCAGTCCAATCTTTGAGAAAATGCACGTGAATTCAAGAGCATGGCTTGCTCAACTGAATTCCCCAGTTTATTTATAGTTTGTTTTTCACTAGATAACAGTTACCTCTTTTGGTGATTTGGATGTATCTTGTGTGTTAAAGATATATTAGAGTGCCAACTCTGCTGCTCAGATGCCTGGTAGATTAATATGCAGATATATGGAACATGATGAATTTGGGTCCATATATTGTAACAGCCCAGCTTTCAAAATTCACCGGCCAGCCCTTATGGGATGGGCTCATATGTATACATGCACCTCACTTACACTTTTGTTCTCGTTTTGTGTAAAGAAAGGGTAAACTTGAGGTGCTATGGTTGGAATGTGTGGATTTATATGATGGCACCCACCTATCTTAGCTCATATGGAACTAATCCCACAAAAGCTACATGACATGGGCCACACAGGCCTATACTAGTGTCTAATGGGCTGGTATTACATATACTAGTTAATAATGGATGCATAGGCATGTATGGTTGATTCCATATACTCACATGTGTCCTTTATTTGAGGTGACGAGTGACGACATTAGGTTGGGACTTGTAACGTACTATCTCAATTTGGACATGACTAGATAATGTTGTTATTAGACTTATTTTTAGGAAATTTTAGACTGTTTATTTGTTGTGTTTTGAGAACACACTGTTCTCTTAGCACTTTAGGCCTGAGGATGAAAACATGACGCTGTGTTTGGTTTGGAATTAACATGTAGTGTAGAGTTTCTCTTTTATGTAATAGTGTAGAGTAAAAACTTCAAAAACACAGGAGAACTGCGCTTCATTTCACTAAGAACAGAGAAATATTTCCAAAGAAGGGGTCAAGGAACCCCTCACCAAAAGAACATTTCCCAACAAGTGTCACACATAAGTGAGGCCTGACCAATTAGGCCTAGTTATTTTAATGCAGAGAAAACAACTTATCCTTCTGTAAGTCTTAACCAAGACTTGAAAAAATAATAAAAGGTGAAATAAGCCTCCTCATTTAATCCCCTTCATCTATTGCTAACTGATTACTCCAGTTAATGAAGCTAAATGGTATTTTAGACTAAATTTATCTGTTGCACTAGGCAGGAGCAGGATCAGGACTAGTGGATTAACTAACACTTTTTTTTTTCTATAATTCCCTTGTTATGTGCCTGTAGTTTGTTCTCTTGTGAAACTTCAAATATTCTCTTGTGAGATTTTGTATAATCTGTGCGTTGTGATTACTGTTCACAGATTTATCCTCTCGTTGGACCAACGAGGACAATTATGTTCTTGGGACGAGGGCAATACGCATGGCATGAGTTCTTTCCATACTGTAAGATTATGTAATAGTACACAGATGATATGTAATTCTTTTGAACGATGTTTTAAGTGCTGATTGGATGCTGAATATTCCCAGTGCAGCATAATTTAGGTGTTGTAATTACTGTATGGGCACCAATTGTCATGGTACGTATCAGTTCATGCATTTTAGGGGGGTTTTCTTTCTCGATGTCATTACCAAGCTGTTTAATTAAATTTCTTATAAAGGTATACTTCATGGACACACAAATATGGTATGCCATTTTTTCAACAATATGTGGTGGAGTGAATGGTGCCTTCAGCCGCTTGGGTGAGGTTGGTACTTTGTAGCATATAAAGGTTTGTACAGTTTGAGTACTGGTGCTGTTAAGAGTACTAATGCTTGCAGAGTATTTACCTTCCTGCAGATCCGGACCCTTGGAATGTTAAGATCACGATTCGAGGCAATTCCAATAGCATTTGGCAAACATCTTGTGCCTGGACATGATAGTCAACCAAAGAGACACGAGCATGAGGTTCAGTTCTGCAAAACGTTATACTAGAAATCTTTTTTTTAGTTTACTTGATAGCTTACTTACTGCTGTTGTTTTTATGATAACCCTTTTCACCAGGAAGACAAAATTAACAAGTTCTCTGACATATGGAATGCATTTATTCACTCTTTGAGAGAAGAAGACTTAATAAGCAATAGGTTTGCATTTGGTGTTAATGTTTTTTCCATTTCTTTGACACTTTAAAAATTTTAAAAAATACTGCAAAAATGTTTAAAGTACTGTGTTTGATTTGTTTCTAGGGAGAGAAATTTACTGATTGTTCCATCATCTATGGGTGATACTACTGTTTTTCAGTGGCCTCCTTTCCTTCTCGCTAGTAAGGTACACTACTCAAATATTCCCTTATTTAACTACTAAATTTTCTTGGAGAGGCAGTACTGTGTTGCTCATGACTACGATATTCCAGATTCCAATTGCACTTGACATGGCTAATAGTGTCAAAAAAAGGGATGAAGAATTGAGAAAGAGGATAAATCAGGATCCATATACCTATTATGCTGTAGTAGAATGCTACCAGACATTGTTTAGTATTCTAGACAGCCTTATTGTGGAACAAAGTGATAAGAAGTGAGTAGTCTTTCCTTTCCTTATTTTTTCAGCTTATTATGTTTGAGTCTATGTTTATTCTGAGAAAATTAATTTAGCATGGTTATCAGTCTAACTAATTTAATTAATATTGCATTGTTCATTGGCGCAGAGTTGTTGATAGAATACATGATAGGATTGAAGATAGCATAAGACGTCAGTCACTTGTAAAAGAGTTCCGATTGGATGAACTTCCTCAGCTAAGTGCTAAGTTTGATAAGCTGCTAAATCTATTGTTGGTACTGATAACATACCTTTGTATCCTATTGACTATATGTTCTCTGTACCACATTTTCTTTCTTCTCCAAAAAATGATCACTTGCGTTTGCAGAGAACTGATGAAGACATTGAACCGATAAAGACACAAATTGCCAATTTGTTACAAGATATAATGGAAATCATCACACAGGATATTATGAAGAATGGACAAGGGTAAGATCTATATTTAAGTGTGCATAGTCAAGAGTTCTTTTTTTTTTGTTTTTTCACCAATATTTTGCCAATCATGCAGTATTTTGAAGGATGAAAACAGAAACAATCAATTGTTTGCAAATATAAATCTGGATTCAGTAAAAGATAAAACTTGGAAGGAGAAGGTTATATGTCCATCCAAGCAACTTATTTCAATATGAATATTCTTTTCTACCATAAGTTTACAAGTACTGATGTCCTCTCATTATGAATTGGGATTCTGTGTTAACAGTGTGTTAGGCTTCAACTATTATTGACAACGAAAGAATCTGCAATATATGTACCTACAAACTTGGATGCTCGTCGCAGGATCACTTTCTTTGCAAACTCACTTTTCATGAAAATGCCAAAGGCTCCACAGGTCCGCAGTATGATGTCCTTTAGGTAAGAAACCGAACTCTCCCTCCACTTCTTTCACCAACCAGTGTTGCCGAATGTCTTTTGCCTTTTACTTTTTGGCACATAAGTGCTCTCCAATCTCCATAATTATTTGCCAAGGTCAATGTAGTTTTCTTTTTGTGAGGGGGTAAAGTCCATTTTTGGCCCTTGAAATTTTTCTCAAAGTCCATTTTTTACCCTGAACACAAAACCAGTTACTTTCCACCCCCAATTTTCAGAACCAAGCATATAGCACCCTAAATCATATTTCACAGTCGTTTTGATCAAGTTGCTAGCATGAACTTCAATTAGGTAAGTTTCATGGTTGTGGACCTAACTAAGTGACATTTGCCTATGCATAATAAGGGTATGAACTACAAAAACCACCTCCATTACAAATAAAACCACTAAAATATATGTCCCGAAGTGTTCTTTGTCCGGTTTTGAAAGTTGACTTGAAAAAAAACACCAGTTTTGTAGTTCAGGGTGAGAAATGGATTTTGAGAGAAGTTCAAGGGCTCAAAATAGACTGTACCCTTTTTCTTTGGTCTGCTCTATGATACTACTCCCTCTGTTCCATATGGTAAGTCATTTAGTTATGTTCTAAGTAAAATTTCTGTAGCTTTGATCGAGTTTATAGAAAAATGCACCAACATCTACAACATCAGTTTCGTTTCTCTATAAACTCCATATAAGTTACAAAAGTTGGAGTTAGGACAAAACTAAAACGACTTAAAATAGAGGGAGTAATTATTTACTGAAAAGTATATTTGATTGACAGCCTTTCTGCTTTTGCATCAGTGTTTTAACTCCCTACTTCAAAGAGGAGGTGCTCTTTTCAGCAGAAGACCTTTATAAAAAGAATGAGGATGGAATATCCATACTGTTCTATCTACGGAAAATATATCCAGGTATCTGTACGTGTTTGATCTCACAATTGGAGCAAAGTCTCTCAGTAAATCATTCATGACCTGTTGCATGCTACAGATGAATGGAAGAATTTTCTTGAGAGGATAGAATTTCAACCAACGGATGAAGAATCACTGAAAACAAAGATGGATGAAATCCGGCCCTGGGCATCTTATAGGGGGCAAACACTCACCAGAACTGGTAATATCACCAATATGCAATTGTGTGGCACATTAACTACATATTAACATACTGTCTAATTATTTACTTTTTGCTTTACTAGTAAGAGGAATGATGTACTACCGCAGAGCACTTGAGATTCAGTGTATTCAAGACAAAACTGATATTGGTTCGTTTAATTCTCTGTTTTTATTCCTATCTTTGTAAATCTATATATTTGTTGACTCAACTTTAACATTTTGCAGTTAAACTGGAACATCGTAGAACAGTAGAGTCTTCTCAACAGGGGTGGGCCAGTTTCGATATGGCACGGGCAATTGCTGATATCAAATTTACCTATGTTGTCTCTTGTCAAGTCTATGGAATGCAAAAGACATCCAAGGATCCCAAAGACAAAGCTTGCTATTTAAACATCCTTAATCTCATGTTAATGTATAAAAACCAAGTGCTTGTGACCTAATAAAGCTATATCATAAATAATAATGTTACTACAACCCATCTGACATTTAAATTGGACAGGTACCCATCGTTACGTGTTGCTTATATTGATGAAGTAGAAGCTCCAGCTGGTAATGGGACAACAGAGAAGACTTATTATTCTGTTCTTGTCAAAGGAGGTGAAAAGTATGATGAGGTACCCCCATTGAACAGAGAGCTTTACGCGTTTGTGGAACTATGTTTACAAAGATTATGTTCAATTAAAATTTTCAGAAGGTAGAAGACTTCATATTGATGTCCCTTTTCTAGATGAGCACCATATATAAAGTTTTTCACTTCTATTGAAGTTTGTAGTTTCATGCGCACTTCTTAAGTTGTTAATACCTACTCGTCATTTTTCAACAGCTCACTATATCTGTTCTGTGTGTTTAGTTCTATGGCATAATTCATACATGGTGCTTTAAACCTGATTTAGGAAATTTATCGCATCAAGCTTCCTGGCAAACCTACAGATATTGGAGAGGGAAAACCTGAAAATCAAAACCATGCCATTGTTTTCACCAGGGGAGAGGCACTCCAGGCCATTGATATGAATCAGGTATACTCATTTCCGCATTTTATTTTTCAAGACCCTTTATGTTGACTATTTCACTGAAGTTGTTGAGAAATGTAAACAAATAGTCATAAATACAGCCCCTCACGCCCAGGCTCAACTCAGCCATATGGACAAAGTATGTATATTGGGATCATACATGGTCTTCCCCTATGACCCACTTTGGATAATATTTTGCAAACAATGGCTATGGTACACACTGCATTTTGTTGGTTTTTGCTGACACACACTGCAAAATTGTGTCACTGCCCAAGAAAATTACAGAATCATGTTCATATACCCAAAAAGGGAAACACTATAAAAAAATCATGCTCATTTGCTAGTAGACATTGTGGTGTCTTGAAATTTTGCTAGCTTAATTTTGAACTCAATATGTTGATTTTCTTACTATATTAGATATGGGGGAGAAACACTAGTAGTCTTAGTCATGGATCAAATGATCAATATATACATGTACAAACTGTACAAAACTGCGTTGGACCAGCTGGGACTGACCTAAACTATTTCTAGCACACATTTTTACATGTACAATACAAAAATAATATTGTTCCTTTACTCGTAGGATAATTACCTCGAAGAGGCATTTAAAATGAGAAATGTGCTGGAGGAGTTTGAGAGTGAAAAGTATGGAAAGAGAAAACCCACTATATTAGGCCTCCGTGAGCACATTTTTACTGGGAGGTATGTGTATCTATCCAAAATTCTGGTCAATTATATCTTGTTTATGCCATCTATTAGTAACCCTTTTCTGTATTTTGTTTTCTATTTTAGTGTTTCATCACTTGCTTGGTTTATGTCCAACCAAGAGACCAGTTTTGTTACCATTGGGCAACGAGTCTTGGCTAATCCTCTCAAGTATGTAAATCTTCATTTTAACATTGTGTTAGAAGGATTTTTTAAGGATTTTTTTTTCTGATGCATTTCATCAGAATGGTAACCTATTTGAATTGGGTGCGTCATCCATTTAAAAGTTAAAAAGTATTTGATGATATTTTTTCCTTTTACCTAACTAGTACTGTGAGAACCATTTTAAAATCATTTCAGCTTTATCTTGAGGCAATCATGCATAAAAGGCCATTATATCCTTACATAAGTATTTTACAAAACAGATCAATTATGGATAAGTACTATGCCCAATTCTTAATATGTCAAAAGTAATTGTAACCTAGTATGGATGGAATACTCTGTTGATACAAAATGTCAAATGGTAAGGAAAAAAAATACAATTTACAACCTTGAACTGTCACGGCAGTCTGAGAAACAACCCTGAACTATCAACACCGTGCATTTCTTAAACTTTTCTCGGTCAGGCGGGACATGATGTAAAGCTAAAACTACTTTTGATTTCTGAATTTCAACGACTAATGAATGACTTCAAAAGAAATTCTCATTTGCTCTATGGGGTAATTATAACATTGATAAATTTGATCCAAGTGAATTAAAGTATAATTCTATGGCAATAAATAGTGTTTAATGATTAAAAAAATAATTTTACCTCAGCTAAATAGACTTTATTTTTTCCTTTGCAATGGCTGAATTTGTTTTGGCTCTAAATAATCTATGGTGCAACTGAGAATTCGCCTAGAATTGATCTGAATCATTTAATAGTTTTACATATGCAAATATCTTGTTAGCCTTGGGGTATGTTTTGAGTTTTAAAAATTAGTAAATGATATCAAAATATTCTAAAAATCTAAATTTACAATGGAATATATAGAACCTGGGTACATTTGTTGTAGAGGTCAATAAAATTTAATTATCTCATAAACAGTGGCTTCTTTTTGTTTAGAAATACTCTTTTGGCAGTTCAATTATATTTTATTTCAGTTGTAGCAAATTTATCTAAGTAACAAATAATCCATAGATCAAATAAAAAAAAAGTCATTAGCTAGTTTGAAAAGTTGTTTCAGCCTCAGTCACATGACCACATCACTATGCCCACAGCAGTCACCAGAAACCACTATCTTTTTATGAACAGTTTTGATAGTTCTAATATTATTGTTTTAAATTTTGTCAGTTTTTATGGCCCTTCATTCATTGATAGACACCACTAACAGGATAGCCAGGTGGTGCTAGCATGTGAAGAGGGAATACTATAAATTGGGATGAGTGATTTGAGCATGTAACTAGATTAGTTCATTCTTTGCTTAATGTGAATAGTTGATGTGGCTCGTCTCTAACTTTTATAGGGGTTTATCCCCTAACAACTTTCTCCAATAGGAAGTAATAAATCATATCTCTAACTCTATCCTTAAACCAAACATCTCAAACTCTTATATCTAAAAAATCTATTTTTTTCTCGAAAAAACAAGAGAATTGCGTATCATTTCATTAAGGGGAAGAAATAAAGAAAAAAATATACAAAGTAGGAGATCCAAAGCCCTCCTACCGAAAAAACACACCCACACGCCCCAGCCAACACCAGCAAGCTCTAGCTGCTTAGGTTTGCCGACCTATTAAGAAACTTTTGGAGGGCAGGCGCCCCCGCTAAACACCAAAGATTACCCTCATTCTCTACCACCTGCAAGACCGTCGCAATACTAGGATTGGCGCCCATTGAAAACACAGTCATTGCGATGCTTCCAAATCTCCCAAGCCACTAAGATGACCAAGGAGTTGAGCCATTTTCGCACGTCCTTTGGCCGGTCTTTTGTAGCTTGGCTCACCACCTAAAAAAATGATCGGCTGAAGGTTGAGGCACTGCATCAGAGAACCCTAGCTTCAAGAACAGTGCCATCCACACTTGGCGAGAAAAGACACGAAATCAAAATGTGTTGGACGGATTCTTCACTTTGATCACAAAAGGGACAGGCCGTGGGGTGCTGCAGTCCGCGCTTAGCAAGCCGGTCGGCTGTCCAACACCTCTTATTGACGGCCAACCAAATGAAGAACTTACAGCGAAGAGGAGCCCAACTCTTCCAAATGTTTTTCCATGGAGCAAACTTGATCGATCCCAGGAAATAAGCTTCATAGATAGATTTACAAGTATACATCCATCGGCGGTTAGCTTCCAAACATGCTGATCTTGTACATCTTGTAGCAGAACCACCTCTTCTACCAAAACCCAAATGGTCAAGTACTTATAGATGGCCATATGGCCCGAGGCCCAATGGCCCGGCCCAAGGCACGACAATTTGGCCCGACCCAAGCATGGCACGGCCCGACTAGGGTCATGCCCGTGCCGGCCCGGCCCGACAGCCGTGCCGTGCCTAGGCTGCTTCCTCGGCACGATGGGCCGGCACGGCCTGGCGCGAATGAAGAAAAAAAGTAAGAGAGACCCAAAATAGACTTAATCAACCATATAAGGTAAGGCCCAAAGAGAATAGGAATACAAAATAGACTTATTTTCCAGCCATATAGACACAGCCCAATGAGTTGAGGAGCAAAAATAGACTTATTCTGTGAAGAAGAATGATGGGTTGTCGTGCTTTCGGACGGCTCGGCACGGCCCGAGTCTTATTGGGCCGTGCCTGGGCCGTGTGCAGCCCGTGGGTTGGCACGGCACGGCTCGACATGTAGGTCTGGCTGTGCCAGCCCGACTTACCTCAGCCCAGGCACGGTCGTGCCTGGGCCATGCTGGGCCGGGCAGCCCATTTGGCCATCTATGCAAGTACTCATTAAGAACCTGAACAGATAGCCCCCATTTATGTCAGCCGCCCATCTTCTGTTCTCCAAAGCCTGCGCCACAGTACGTTGCTTGCTTGTGCTCTTAGAGATCAAGGCAAAGAGATTAGGCGCCAGCTCTGCTACTGTTTTCCCTTGCAGCCACCTATCACTCCAAATTCAGTATTTTCTCCATTTCCAACTATAGTTTTGACAGCCACATTGAAAAGAGAACGTACATTGAGACACATGAATAGATAAACCGCCCCAAGGTCTAGCAAAATCAGTTTTTTGAAACAATAACCACCTCAGGCGTAGTGCCCACCCCATATTTTCTAGGTTAGGGATACCAGGGCCTCCATAGGACAAAGGCCGACACACACGATCCCAAGAGATCAAACAATTTCCTCCATTAGTATTTTCTCTTCCCTTCCATAAGAAGCCACGACACCTTTTATCTATAGCCTTGACCACCCACTTAGGAAGATCCAACGCCATCATTGCATAAATAGGAATAGCCAAGAGGACCACCTAACTGTTATTAGCTGACCCACCCTGTTCATTAAAGAGGCTTTCCAACTCGGTAAATTATCTGCCACTTTGTCCACAAGGGGCAACAAGTCTGTCTTGGTTGATTTACGGATTGTAAGAGGAAGTCCGAGATAAGAGCAAGGGAAGCTCGCCACTTCACAAGACAACTCATTAGAAATCACTTCCAGATCATCTTCCAAGCAGTGAATAGGAGTGCAAGAGCTCTTGATCATATTGGTCCTTAGTCCAGAAATCTAACCAAAAAACTCCAAAATCTGCTTGATAAGAGATAGGTCCCCACTTGTAGGACACAAAAACATGACCACATCATCCGCATACAGAGAAACCTGGTGTGCTGTCGCGGGATAGTGAGAGGCTCCAGGAGATTTCCACGATCCGCACACGCCACAACTAAGTTCAACGCGTCCATAACCTAGATAAAAAGGATAGGAGACAAGGGGTCACCTTGCCGGAGGCCTCTACAGTGAGCAATGTCCTGGCCGGGCTCTCCATTCACCAAAACTCTTGTGGAAGAGGTTGACAGCAAAAGGCATAGCAAATTACACCATCGTCTCCCAAAACCCAAATGGCACAAAACTTCAAGAAGAAAGGACCAGTCGTCTTATTTCTAGCCACTTACCTCCTAAAGCTAAATAAACAACTAACCATCATTGTAATTTCTGCACATGGCAGCCTTATTCAAAAAGAATGTATATCCTGTGCTGTGAAAAAATCCAAAGGATTTTTGAACTGGGAAGCTCATTATTCTAATTAAAACAAAACTTGTGAAGTGTTGTTAGTAATAAGTTGACCAAATAAAAAGAGCTAGTCGTGAGCCCATGACTGTTATACCCATGAGACCATGACCAGTATTCAAGTTCCACATCTTCCTAGACAGAGTAGACTTTTGGCCTAATTGCTAACTGCAATTTATCTGAAAATTGTTTTAAAATCTTTTATTGTTTCCATAAAACACTGATAAGTATCTGGAGTTACTCTTACTTTGATCGCAAATAGCTTTGTCAATTGGTTCACACAATCCTTATTGCATGTTTGGAAATCATAAGTGGCTCATGCCCGTGTTAGTATGAACTGGAAAAGGAAACTACCAAATATGCTTTGATAATTTGTTACACAACTATAAAAATAAAGTCAGACCTAGCTTTCTGGAAATCATTCTACAAATGTAACTAAACAGTTATGACATGGAGCGGGGTTCACTAAGATTTGAGTAGTTTCCACATGGTTAGATATTGTTTCATTTAACATTGATTTATGACTGTATATTTTTTATCATGTTGTGCTTTTATGTCTACAACTCATTATTGCAAGATGAATACAGGGTTCGGTTCCATTATGGTCATCCTGATATTTTCGATAGACTCTTCCATATTACTAGAGGTGGCATAAGTAAAGCCTCAAAGACTATAAATCTAAGTGAAGATATATTTTCAGGTAAGCCGTGCATCTCATACATGTTTACAAATCCATTACCTAGCATGCAGTTACTGAAACGCAATTTTCTTATAGGTTTTAATTCAACAATGAGAGAAGGGAATGTCACACATCATGAGTATATGCAAGTTGGTAAGGGGCGTGATGTGGGAATGAATCAAATTTCAAGCTTTGAAGCTAAGGTGGCAAATGGCAATGGTGAACAAACATTGAGTCGTGATATCTATCGGCTGGGGCGCAGATTCGATTTTTATAGAATGCTATCCTTCTACTTTACTACAGTTGGGTTTTACTTTAGTAGCATGGTAAGAATATTAATTGAACATGTTCATTTGGAAGTTTATATTATTGATAGCTCCTAAAAAGGTATTTCTGTCTTGTATAACACTACTAAACATAATCTTCCTTGAGAATCAACCCTACTAAAAATTGTATAACACTAAAATTGTAGAAAGTTACTTACAAAAGAACAAAAAGGACATCTTTCCTCTACCAGATGGTCTAACGTGGAGCCATTTGTTTCTTCATGGACCAGTCACCAGTATATTGAAAATCATCAAGATTTGGAAAGTCTTTCATGTAAAGAAAATATTTTGTTTGGCCATTCTTGCTGTAGTTCCTTAGTATATAAATATGAAGTATATTTTGGTCAGCCTGAGAGTATAGGCATGGTTTTACAATGTGTTTCACTTTGGCATTTGGGATACTGACATCCTTCTTCCTTTATCCAGGTTACAGTACTTACAGTTTATGTGTTTCTATATGGGAGGTTATATCTAGTTATGAGTGGTCTGGAAAGGTCTATTTTGCTGGATCCACGTATCGAGCAGAACATTAAGCCTCTTGAAAACGCACTGGCCTCGCAGTCTTTTTTCCAGCTAGGTTTGCTGCTTGTTCTCCCTATGGTAATGGAAGTTGGCTTAGAAAAGGGATTCCGCACAGCATTAGGAGAGTTTGTTATCATGCAGCTTCAGCTGGCATCTGTGTTTTTCACATTCCAGCTTGGCACCAAAACGCACTACTACGGAAGAACAATACTGCATGGCGGGGCTAAATACAGACCTACAGGTCGTGGATTTGTTGTCTACCATGCAAAGTTTGCTGACAATTACCGCATGTACTCCCGCAGCCACTTTGTTAAAGGACTTGAACTGTTGATACTTCTGGTGGTTTATTTAGTGTATGGAAGTTCCTACCGCAGCTCAAGCATGTACCTATTTGTCACCTTCTCCATATGGTTCCTGGTTGCATCTTGGCTCTTCGCACCCTTTATCTTCAATCCGTCATGCTTCGAATGGCAGAAGACAGTTGATGACTGGACAGATTGGAGGAAGTGGATGGGGAACCGTGGGGGTATCGGCATGTCTGTGGATCAAAGCTGGGAGGCTTGGTGGATAAGTGAGCAGGAGCACCTTAGGAAGACTAGCATTCGCTCTCTCCTCTTGGAAATCATTCTTTCGCTCCGCTTCTTGATCTATCAGTACGGTATTGTGTACCATCTGAACATAGCACGCCGCAGCAAAAGCATTCTGGTACCTCATCTAAACACAATCTGTTCTGCTTGCTACTTTCATAGTTCCTACTATTGCAGGATATATACCTTAATTTACTGGCCTCTTTTCAATATCTAGGTATATGGATTGTCATGGCTGGTTATGCTCTCAGTCCTAGTAGTTCTAAAGGTAAAGCTACAGCATGTCAGGTGGTATACTACCTCAGATGATTAATAATCTTACCTGTTGTTTGTTGTTTCTTCCATACAGATGGTTTCGATTGGGCGACAGAAGTTTGGAACAGATCTGCAGCTTATGTTCCGCATTCTCAAGGGCCTCCTGTTCCTTGGTTTTGTCTCTGTGATGGCTGTATTATTCGTCGTTTGTAACCTCACAATTTCGGATGTTTTTGCTAGTATTCTTGGGTTCATGCCTACTGGTTGGTGCATTCTTCTGGTGAGTGAAACCCTTCTGCACCACTTATTTGTTTTTTTTTGTAAGCATAAAACTTAATTCCAAGAACAAATATAAAACCCTGTCCATTTTCTCAATAAAAAGATAAATTTTAGCGTTCATCGTAATCTGGACCCAAATGATTTGTATGATCTTGTCATTCATCCACAGATTGGGCAGGCATGTTCGCCGTTGGTGAAGAAGGCAATGCTGTGGGATTCCATCATGGAGCTCGGGAGGTCGTACGAGAACCTGATGGGACTCGTCCTCTTCCTCCCCATCGGCCTCTTGTCATGGTTCCCCTTCGTGTCCGAGTTCCAGACACGACTGCTCTTCAACCAGGCCTTCAGCCGTGGCCTCCAGATCTCAAGGATCCTCGCCGGGCAAAAGGACATTGGAGAGGAATGAATGAATGGATGAATGGCCCCTCCTGGCCTCGTCTCCTCCGGTGAACTCGCTTGGACGAAAAAACCATCGATTTTGGGCGGCTAGTTCGTTGATAGGGCCTTTTTTAAATAGTTCTGAACAAACAAATAGTAGCCGGTACATCTGAACTGTAGTATAAATGTTTGTTCCTCTTTAGAACAAGGCATATATATGTAGTAAGCAATTAACATAAATGCAGTACGTTGGTATATTTCCAAGGGTCGGCATGTCAGGATATATTAATTAGTTAGTGACTGGCTAGACATCAGTTTCCTTCTGTTCTCGAACGTGTGTTCTTCTGTTCAGCCGTTCTGGATGTAGCATGTCAATCTTTCATTTTGTTTGACGTTTAGAAATGTCATAGTTCGTGTTTTCGAAGGACAAGCAACCTCACCAGCAAGATTGTGTGCGACTATCGAGGTCGAGGATGAACGGGAAACTTGGAAGATGGTGGGCCTGCTCGCCACGCTTTGAAATGCATCGGGGCAGCTTTCATTTGTGTGTACCTAGAAAGCTATCTTTGATATAAGCAAGGTTTACAAAACCGTACAGTTATCGTAATTATCACGTGCGGTAACCTTCTAAGTTTTTAAAAACACGATTTACCTTGTGGTAACCACATGGTTTTCACGATAACCGCTAAATCGTGGGATGCTGGTAACCTCACCTTATACCCTATAAGGTTTGGTAAACCCTGGATATAAGTTGTAGGTGCTCTGTTGTTCAGTGCTCTAAGCAAAACTGTAAATTCCTGCTCCTCTTAATATACTTAGGCCAGCGGTTGGTTATAAAAAAAAATATACTCCATCCAATTAAGAATATTTGATATATAAAATAAGATTTGGTTCAACTTTTAAAATTTAAACTATTAATAATTTCTCAAATAGTTAGTTTAGAAATAAAAGAGATGTTACAGGCACATTTGCCTCGAAAAGTCCTAGTACATCATGAAGTAATTAGATCTTGTAAATTTGTTCTATATAAAATTGATGTACTTAATTTACATTTTCCTTTATTTTTCTTCCCTAATGAAATGAAATGCAATTCTCTTACGTTTTCGAGAAAAAAAATAAAATTGATGTACAGATTTAACCAAATTTTATCACAAACATCAAATAGTGATGATTGGAGTACTGTCACAAAGGAATCACCTTGGCAAAACAACCATTTTCTCTACTTTATATTTTTATATATAGTTCATTAGGTCAACTAGAGTAAATGATAGGTTACCTATATATTAGCTTAGCGCAATCCAATAATCTGCTGCTCATTACATAATACATAATCTTCAACATACAAGGCAATCTAATAATACACCGAGAACGAGAAGTCCCTAACCAACAAAAAATAAAACAAACATGCACAACATATTGAACTACAGGATTACTTCACGAGAGATGAAGCAGGAATGTATATGTCAATTTCATCCAATGTTGGACGATCACGTAAGGTCAAGCTGTGCTCATTTGCCAAATGCAAGAGGCAAATGAAATATAGGTGCGGTGAAATTTCTGTTGCTGCAGCATCAGGGTTGCAGCTTGGAAGATCTTGCAATACTTTCGATAGGCACAGGGGTGATTCTGTGTCCTTGTCTTCCTGCTGAACAAATTTTAACCGAGTACAATATTGTTAACATATTAATATAGAACAACAGAAATTAGGGAGAAAGGTTCAGTTCGAATTTCAGAGTATCAAGTCTATCATATTGATGTTTCGATATATTCAAAGAAAATTACACAGATATTCCTTTTTTTAAAGCAAATTTTTCATGTTTGTTAGTATCACAGTTCACAAATATCCTCCTAGACACTCTTCATGAAAATTTTCCAAGGCAAATTAAACTAGGATAACAAAGCAATAAAGGGCTCTTGAAACATTTCAATTTGCAACAAACTTATTTTCAGCAAACAGATACAGGTATTAGTTTTGAATTATCAAAATATTAACCAAGTTCCAAACTTGTGTCTGGTGGGTGGGCACAATGTTATTAGTTATACTTGAGGAAAGCCAGAAACTAGCAAAAAACTGGCTTGACTTTCAAGTTTCAAGTATAAATAATAATCATTTCCTCATTATCCATGTCCTGGCAGTTGCAACTGGTAATTAATTTCTACCCATTTTATATATTACAAAAAATATCAAACACGACATCAAAAATAAACTTTACCAAAAGAATATAAACAAATAGTTTCCAGAAAGCTGGTTGTGGCAGTATGGATGATAACAGCATAGTTGTTAATATTCCGTTTTAAGTCCCTAGATGTTGTAAAGCATATGCCAGTATGCCACGTGTAAACCCTGTACTATATAATGTAGCACAATAAAACCTTAAGTTTTGTCAATCATATATGTCACGGGTAAGATTAACCAAATAACAAACATACGTGTTTTATTGATTACATTTTAAGCTATTCTATTTACGAAAATGAAAACAATATTGTATTAGTGTTATTCAGATAGCAATTTTTAGCAATAACAGAAGATATTACCAGGTCATCAGTGTCAGCAGATGTATTGATGTGATTCCAGAGCACTTCTTTCAAGGCATGAACATCGACTTGTTTTGATACCTTGTCATATTGTATATCAATCTTGTTGACCTTTGATTTAGGAAGGAAACAGGTATTAATTCAGACTTTACCAGGCCAAGTAAGTTAGTAACATTAAAAAAAAAACAAGGTCATCTTAAAAACTCAAACACATTACAATAATTTATTCAGATCACTAGTTTTTTCATGTAAGTCCTCTGGCAGAGCACTCTGTCGAAAGGTCAGCAATTCTAAGCTCACAAGAATAGAAGCTCCTGAGTATAGGTAAGGTGTAAATGCATAATAAATTTGCAAGATACACTTTTATCGTTTGTTTGGATACATTTATTGTGCCATAAAAATCAGCAGCATAGATGTCCACCACTACGAACAGCCAACTCATGTCAAGCCAGATCAGGCATGTAAACCCTATACATTTGCAAAAAGTCAAAACGCCCTCCTTTTTTTTGGAGGGGAGTCAAAACACCATTTGTCGTACAGAAAATATAACAGAACTCTAGGGACTGTTCAGTACCCAAAGTATAAGAGTTAAATCTGCACTGACTTGGCATAAATTTAACATATATTGATGGGCATGTGATTCTGCTTTCTAGGAGGCCACAAATTAAAGTTTATGGGACAGACATCAATATACATAATGTTAAAGCTTGAATTAATTACTCCCTCCATCCCAAAATATAGCTACCTGTCTAGTTCAAGAACTAGAAAACTAGAAAGGTAGCTATTATCTCTGCATTCTGTTTACACAATTTCTTTTGTGTAAAGTTATTCTGATGTTATAGTGCTTTTTAGTTACTACATTCAGATCTAACCAGCTTTAGTATTTCAAATGGTGTCAATTGCAACTTTGTACGAGCGCCCATCGAAATATCAATACAGAACCAGACTCCAATATAAGCACACAAAACCAAAATGTCTAACAAGGGAAGGCAAAAGAAAAAAGGAGCGCACCTGTCTTGGTTTGGTAATAAGATCTACTGCATCCTCTACATCGGTATCACCATTTCCTTCATCGACATGATCATTACAAAAATCATCACCATCCCAAGGTTCAGATGGGATGAAGTCATCAGTATTCTCCCTTGAACCACCTACTAGAGAACAAAGGTGTTCTGTGGTTAACAAATGTAGGAAAACAATTCTATATAAATAGAAAGGCATTAACAAGAACAAAGGCTGTCCATACATACATCAACTTGCCACACATTAGCAAACAGACATAATCTAGTATGAGAATAGTAAAGTTCTTCTCTGAAAAGGGAAAGTCAATTTGCTACCTAATAGCCAACATAAGTATCACATTACCACCTTTCTTGGAGTTGTGCAGAGCATTCTCTATAAATAAACCCAGTCCTGAACTTTATACTTATTTGCATTCCACAGTTTCAGATAATAATACTCTAACATCATACGATTCACAGATTGTTTCGTTTAAGTATTTAAGTAGCAATATGAACTTACCAATATATCAAGGGTTAATTGGATCCATGCCATTACAAATTTGTTGTATTAGAAAAATGCCACTATTATTCGTCATATCGGCTGGTGGTGGTCACCGCTCATGCCTTGGCCTCTTGGGGAGGAGCAGCAGCAGTAGCAATAGCAGTGGAGAGAGATGGGGAAGATGAGCTGCTGCTGGTGGTGGTCGCTGTCCACGTCCTGGGCAGGAGCAGGAGCAGTGGCAGAAATAGCAGTGGAAGGGAGAAGAAGGAGCAGGTAGAGGAAGAAGAGGAAGAAAAAGGAGAGGAGAAGAAAGGAAGGAGAGTCTGACAGAAAATATAACGGTGATGGCATAGATCTAATTTTACAAAATTATAATGGCACTCAGCCGATATCACGAATAGTAGTGGTATTTTTCTAATACGGTAAATTTGCAATGGCATGAATCCAATTAACCCATATATCAAATACCAAAAGGAGCTGGAGGAAAGTAACACAGGTAATATGAACAGGGAAGATGTGATAAATAATTTAAGAACCTTCAGAATTTACAACAGGACTTCAAGATATAATAACAAGGCAACAAGAAAACTTCATGTGAAATACACAATGCAAGAACATAGAAAACTTACCAAGTGGTTTTTTCCTTCTCCGAGCCAGACACTACAAAAAGATCCATAGTTACTATAACCACCCCAGATCCATATCAAGAAAAAAATTATAAGAAATTGCCATTACCAAAACATCCGGAAGAAGGAATAATTTAACAAGGCTTTCAGGTCTATAATGGCAATCCTCTGGAAGTTTGTTATTGCTGGTAGCCCTATTTGCCGGCAGCAGCAATGATTTTGAATTCTTAGGAGGTGCAAAGATATTTGGCATATCATGTTCCAATGCTTTGCTGAAATCAATGTCAGGTTCATCCTTGCCTCTTTTCTTCTTTGTCTTTTTTGGGGCGTCTGAATCATCAGGTTTAGTTGGGACAGGGTCCAAATCTAGTTGAATGTAAGCCCAAAGGTTAGATTAAACAAGCCTGCCTGAAACAAAACTAAAACAGGACTATGTACCCATAGTACCTTTAGCTTTTCGATATTTCCAATGCTCAGGTCCTGCCCAGGCATTTGTTTTTGCAGAGAATCCCATGCCAAATGACAAGAAATCTGCAATTTTGTCAATTCTTTCATTTACATCAAGACCTTCAGCAGACTCAAAAGTGTACTCATCAGTTTCCTGCAAAAAAATATACCCTCAGATATTTATACTTCAGAAAACAAACAAATAAACCATAATTTGAACTGAGTACTTCAGACATTTCAATCAAAGAAATGTCATTGGATGGTGAATGAATGGATAAGTAATAGGCATCAAATTGCATCCTACAAAGTTACTCAATTTGACTTTTATCTTAAAAAAATATTAATTGATACCATGATTAATCAATGTTTTCTCACATTCATTTAATGTCAATTCTCATAGATTTTTAAACTGCGCAGAAAACTCCAGTAATTGGAAACATTGGGAAATAAAAAGAAGAAAAGAACAAAAGCTGTCAACCCCCAAAAAATGCATGCTCTAACCACACACAAAATGTGTCTAGGTTTTACTGTTTGCAGGAAGTACCTCTTGACCGTTCATGGAGCTATGATCCATTGGGTCACAGTGTTCATCATACACGCTCTCTTGATCATCACAACCTCCAAAATCCCAAGTTCCACAATCATTTTGCATATCATTTTGTGTGATGTCATCATTCGCCACATCATTACCGTCAACCACCTGATCTTCCATCACTGGAATTTGCCTAGAAATTGCTTCATGAGGTGGTCTTCGGTTTTCATCATCAAACTGATAAACTATATTGCTCAAGGTAGGAGAAATATCATTGCAGAGGGGCATATGAATTATCATCTGCTCGATTTGCTCTGTTTAAGAGTAGACCATTACAAAACCTTAAATGGAAATAAAAAAATGCAGAGCATAGACAGCAGAATAGAAACAGATTGACAATCATACCTTTAGCAAATGAAAGACCAATCAACTCAGCCATCTCAGTTTGCATATCACTTAAGATGCACTTGTCAGGTGCTTCAAACGAATCAAAGAGCACACGGCAACTGTCATATACTCCGAGGTTATATGACAAGAGACCCTTTGCCCCACCCTCATCAAATTGCGCGGTAGTTTGATGGTACAAAGGATCAACCGTGAAGGCAACTAGCAGAAAGTGCAATAAATTAATATTATACTCTACAATTTTAAACTTTTGGTCCTATGATAGTAATCCCGACAGAAGCACAAAGCAAAAAAGTTTTTAAAAGATCTGCTTGGAGCTTACCATCAAACTTCTTTACATTAAGCGAATCAAATGAGGACTCCAAAGTTGATGTGGGTGATATCTGCACATATGAAACAGCACTAGGCTATTAGAAAAAAAACCAAGCAGAACTTAAGTGGAAAAACGAACAGTAACCAATTCAGATAGGCATACCCTCCTATCTGCATCCTTTTTGTTTGTACCTTCTTGTGAATGCTTTGGATTGCTACCTTCTTCTGAATCTTAAGTAAAATAAAACACCAAATCAGGACATCATAATGAAGCAGCATGCATTTACCAAGGGAAAGCTATAGGCACAACAAAGGTGTATTTATGATAATTTGCAGAATTACTGCCTAACTTTTACCTTAAGGGTGTCTTTAGTTCCTGAAAAAAGTTGGAAGTTTGAAGAAAGTTGGGAGTTTGGAAAAAAAGTTAGAAGTTTATGTGTGTAGGAAAGTTTTTGATGTGATATGATGTGATGGAAAGTTGGGAATAGGGGGGAAACTAAACACGGCCTAACAAATAAAACAAATGATCAAATGCAATTCAACTAATCCTCGTGCATCATTTATCATCTAAGGTTTTGAGATACAGTAGTAGCATGATCGTGAAAACTGAAGAGTGCTCCAATGAACCAAAAGTCAGAAAAGGCCATTTCTCACAGGGACTTGATTTCTTAAAAAAAATCTTAAAACATCTTTCTATTTATTGTTCGATCAATTTATAGATGGACATTTTTTTTGGTACAAAGCCAAATTTCTATCATGTAAGTTGACTTAGTTTGAATTTAACTGAAACAGTTTAGTGGTGCCCAGAATACTAATAATACTTTTGCAACTCGAAGCTGACTCACATGAATAAAATCGAATTACAATCGAATGGCTACAGTAAAAATTGGAAAGCGCTATGAAACTCTAGTGGGTATTTACCAGCCTCATCGCCTCTTCCAGCACGGTTGATGCCTCCAAGCACCTTGTACGCCTCAGAGTGCACTGAATCTACACGCAAAGAGTAAATCTTCACGCCCGCCTCGAGCGTGCAGCTAGCCTGGTCACAAGAAAATGGTTAAAAAAAAATTTCTCAATCGAAGTCAGAAGAGGTCACAAATCTCCTCCCACGGTAGTAGTAGAAAGAAGGTCGAAAATGGAAGAAATCAGCACAGCCGCACCTTCTGGAAATTGGTCTCGTCGTCGTCCTCCTCCCCGGCCTGGATGATCTCGCTGAGGTGGTCGATGAGCCCCAGCTCCCACGTGTTCTTCTGGTTAATTTTCTGCTCAAATTCCCCATCGGAAAAGAGGGGGAAAAAACAAAAACACAAAGAAGGCGAACTCAATACGAGGCGCGCGCGAGTGGCCCTAGGGTTTCGGCGCGGCGGTGGGGAAGAACAACGACGAGGGGGGGTAAGGTACAGAAGGCGCGTACGTTCTCGGAGGCGAGCTTGATGCAGTTGTGGAAGAGGTCCATGACCTGGTCGCGGTTGAGGAGGTCGTGCTGCTGCTGCGCCGCCGCCCTGGGGGCGAGGGACGCGGCGAGGGAGCGGCGGCGGACGGAGGCCGCGCGGGCGGCGGCGCGGGCCCGGGCGCGCTCGAGCTGGTCGTCGTTGGAGCCGAGCGGGAAGGCGGGCGGCGGCGACTGCAGCAGCAGCAGCCGCGGCCCCGCCGCCGTCCCGCGCGCCGGCGGCGGGGTCGGCGCCGGCGCCAGCGCGGTGGCGGGGTCGGCGGCTGGCATCTTCGCGGCCGATCGATCCGCGGAGAGGAATGTCGATTTGGGGGATTTTTTTTTTTTTTGAGTCGGTTTCGTTTTTGGGGGGGTTTTCGGCGGCGATTTCAAATTTTCGGGGAGAGCCGCCGGAATGGGAAGGGGTTTGAGGGAGTTGGAACGATGGGGGGAATCTGTCTAACGGGCGGAAAGAAGTGCATCTCTCTCTCTCTCTCTCTATGCCACGTGGGCCCACTGGTCAGATAAGGACATGTGGTCGTGACAAAATTCAGTATATGTATGCTCATCATTTCATGATTTTTTTTTTTAGATTTTCCCTTGCTTTCGTCAAGATTCATAATAATCTGCTCTTGTTTTTCTGCATTTTCTAGTTTTTTCTTTTACTTCTTCTTTTTTTACTCCTGCCGCATCTACCACATGAGGGCATGTTTATCCGATGAAGTAGGAACCGAACCAAATATCCACATTTTTTTAAAAGTAACATGGGTGAATCTACTCCACAAAATACAAAGGGTGCAGTTACTTTTTTAAAACTCCAAAACTCTAGCTTCATATCTGAAATATAAGTATTTTTTGCTGCATTAATCTGTATCAATATTTTTGGCAACGTTATCTCGTGATGGTGGTGGTTCTATGTACATGAAGCCAATGTTGATTTTTATAAGTTATGTTTATGCTTGCGATTTGGCTAAATGAGGAGAGAGGATTGCTATCTAGCGTGTACGTGCCAGCAGGTGCTCCTACCCTGCGCATTTTTCCTTTTTTATTGCTGTTTTTGCACGCTCCCCAACTTTCCGGTGCGTTTTCCTTTTTTCATGATTTTTTTAATCTCCAGCGCATGTTTTTCCTTTTTCTGTTTTTTAATGTATTTTACAATTTAGATCTTTTATCTCAAATTTAAAAACTTCTATTTGAAACTTTCAGCTTAAAATTTGAACTCAAACTGCAAAACTTACATCTCAAATTTCGAAACTCTCAACTCGAATTTTAAAAACATTAACTCAAAGATTAAATAAATCTTGAGTCAAAAGTTTTTAAATCCGAGTTAAAAGTTTTAAAATCTTGATTTGAAAGTTTTCCAATCCGAGTAAAAAGTTTCAAATATTGAGTTAATGGGATGGAAGTGTTGAATTGTAATCCAAATTCATTTGCACACGAATAAAGGCCAGCTTTAAATGGAGCGAAGCGGAGGCCCGTCGCCGGAGGTTTGGGATACCGTGGTTTTTTCTCTCCTACTTTAGAAGGGTTTTCCATGTTAAATCTTATGTCTTTATGATTGATTTATTGTTTTTTATGGTTTATGTGTCTATCATTTTCTAACATGATGGAGTTGGGAGAGCCGCTCGACACCGTCGTGTGATGGAGCCCACTCCCGTCAAAGGAGAAATTCAAGTACAAGTGCACAACAGAAACATTGACATGATCACTTGAGCATATCGCTTCGATCAGATGAATCATCATAAAAGAGATTAGTAATTGCTCGCCCATCTTCATACGCCATAATCTTCAGTTTTGAGATGAACCACCCAAATTATCTTATTACTAGAGGAGGTTGAAACAAGGGCTTTATACTGTGACACGACGATTATTGTTGCTGCTGTCGACGAGAGAGATGAGATAGATGAGGCAGGTGTACATGTCAATCTCGTGCTGCGCGGAGCTCGTCGGCCATCCGGGCGCTGAGGAGCAGGTAGTGGAGGTAGTCGCAGTCCTCCTGGCATGCCGTTACGAGCGCGTAGCACCGCCACACCTTGGAGCCGTTACGAGCTCAAGCTCCCGTAGCAGGCCGCCGCTGAGATCCACGTGCTGCCCCATGCGGCGGAAGGTGAAGGAGAGGGCAGCAACAGGCGGCAGCACGGCGCAGCTCGGTGGCAGGCAGCGATGCGACCGATCGAAAGAGAGAGAAAGATACAGACAGAGAAGGGAGAGAGCGAGGAGGAAGAAGGATCGAGGAGAGGATGACAAGGGGGCCACATGCCAGTGGGCCCCACATTTTTTCTTTTTTAATGACAAATATGTCCCATTTTAATTGTAGTGCCACCTAAGCGTCATGTCAATATCATAAAGCCAAGTCAATACTGGCACATAGACACCACGTCAGCGAAATCATTCTCCAAAGCTATCGAGGGAGTTAAATTACACCGATTTTAATAGTTAGAGGGTCAAGATATCCGGTATTGTAATTAAAGAATACGGATCAGATTCAGTCACTAGTTAAGAGGTTCAAAGTGAACTTATTCCCATCCAGAACTCCTATTCCTCGAATCTGTCCCAGTTTAGGCCCACTCACTCTCTGTCATACTTTACCTTGTCTGTCCAAGTGTCGAGTGGAGATTAGGCCGGATGGGGCGAGGGAGAAAGGACAAAAAAGAAAAAAGAAAAGGAAAAAAAAAGAAAAGATCAAATCAAATCAAATCCCCCGTCGAGGCCAAACCCTAATCGCCGCCTGGCGATGGATGGCCGACGGCGGCGCAGCGGGAGGCCGGATGTTTCCTACGGCAATTCGGATGGAATCGCCCACAACCGATCCGTGATTTTGGGCACCATCCACGGCTACTACAAGGAGGCGCTCGCCGTGCTGCCGCTCGACGACTTGCCGGAGCTTGCCCCGCGCCTCGTTGGCGCCGGCGTCTGCTTCGGCTTCGGCGACCCTACCACCAACATCATCGCCAACACCCTCTCCTCCTTCCTCCCCGACAAGCCTGATCCCGATCACCGGGCCAAGAAGCACAAGCGCAAGGCAAGCATCAAGACGCCATCGGCAGCAGCGAGGTCGGATGCCGCCGGCGACGCCCCCTCCCCTCCGCCGGAGACACGAACCATCGCCGAGCGATCGCTGGAGGGCCTCATCACCTTCCTCACATCTTACTTCCGCTACCTCCCCACCTGGGATGCGCTCCGCTACCTGTGCCTCGCCAACGCCGACCTCCTCGTCGCCGTCCGCCTCATCGAGCTTGATCGCTGCTACAACACCAAGGATGAACGGTTCCACATCTCCTCCTACGCTGCCAGGGCTGCCCTTACATGCGCAGCATCATCGGCGAGGCAGCCTGACGTCGACGGCTTCATTGCTGGTTCGTTTTCGCTGGCGTCTCATCTTGAATTCGTCACCCAGACCGTGCTAGCAGATCGCAGCTATGTATTGTCTGTTGAGAAGATCTTGTTGCTGTCTGGAATGCTGAAGAAGAAGCCGCGCATGCTTGACAAGTCTGACAATCCAATGATTTTTGCTGATGAACGGCGGCTTCGTAACTGCCATACCGATGCTAATGCTAGTGGTGATGCTAATTGTGAGAAGGTGCCAGGTGGTTTGACAATATCACTTCGGGCTGTTCTACTTGACAAGATTCATGCCAAGTACCTCAAGGCAATCTCTCGATTACCTATGCAAGATGTTCGGGCTCGTTACCACTTACCACCGTGCCCTTGTCAACGGTGGTTACTGCTATGGCCCATTCAGTTGTGTGACCAACATCATCGTCAACACTCTCTGGTATGACTCTACTTTCCCTGCTATGGAGAAACTTGAGGTGGACATGATCTGCACCTCCACCTTTGTTCGTGTGGAGTCCCGGTCCCTTCGTGGCCTTATCAAGCTATTGCTTACATGCATTCCTGAGATTTCTGAGCATGATGCCATGATATATCTGCTAAAGAATAATCTGAAAGTTCGCAAAGCAATTGAAATGGCAGGAGCGGAAGGGTGGAAATCCAGCTGGGATGTCAGTGCCTACAAGGCTGCAGCGGATGCATCGTTTCATCCTGAGCCCGAAGCTTATGTACAGTTTTCCACTCAATCTCTACCTAAGGTGCAGGCTGCCGTTAAATCACTATTGCGTGCTTCTACCCCACTTTCCTCGAATGATGTTCTTCAGCTAGCTACGTTGTTGCCATCTTCAAACTGCATCTCTGCTAAATCTTTGGAGACAATTGTTGATCTGTCTACAGATGCATTGGATATGTTTATAGCGTTCAAGGAAAAATTTGTCACTCAACAGGGTTTTTTTCATAGAAAGATTGAAGCTGCACTAAGGAAAAGGGTTAGTACTTTCCATTCCATATTATGTGCTACTTTCAAAGTATTGCTCTCTAGTTAGACTATTGATTTGGATAATGAAAATATATATTTAGTGCAGAATTATCTATTTCATATTGTCATTATAACTGCTCTTCTCTGCATATTCAATTCTTACCTGATGATTGAGATAATGAAAGGATCTGTTATCGCCGAATTATCATTTCATAATGTCATTATAAATTAATAATTGCAGTTTTATGCAAGTTCACTTCTTTCCTGGTTTTAGTATCTATTTAGCATGGAATTATCCATTTCATGATGTCATTATGGTTGCACTTTTCTGCAAGTTCACTTATTCCCTAATGATTTGATTAGGATAATGATGAAAGGATTTGTTCGGTGTGGAATTACCCATTTCATAATGCCATTGTAGTTTATTTTTTTTGCAAGTTCACTTCTTCCCTATTGATTAGGATAACAAGAGTATATGTTTAGTGTGTAATTGTCCTTTTCATAATGTCATTATAATTGCCATTTTTCTACAAGTTCACTTCTTTCATGGTTGTAGGGATATCTATATGATCTTCAAGTAATCTGTGTTGCAAATGAGCGTGTGGGCAGCCAGATGAACTTCTTGGACTTCAAATGTCCATATTCACATGTAAACTTTTTGGCAAGACCAAAAGTTGGAAGTGGACTTAAGTTATTCTTTGCTGAATTCAGTAATGATGATGATGATGTATCCTTTTGCTGTACCGTCTCAAGAAAATCAAAACACGGTATGTTTGATATATGATTGTGTCCTTTTCTTAAATATAATTTATAGAATGATTCTTTCTTGTATTTTGATGCTAACCTTTTTTTGGTATTGTCTTTTTTGGAGAAGCTCGTTGTTGTTATTGTGAATATGAAGGGACCAGGATTATGCATCCTGCGCATCCGATTGAAAATTATTGTGGTGGCGACATGGACTTCATAGAAATGGCGCATGGCACTCATAAGCTGACCAATGCAAGAATCATTAGTTGTGGGAAGTGCGCAGGCAATAGAGTAGGCATGTGTGGGGACGATTATATCTATTTCGATCCTACCCGAGATGCTAAGTTCGCCCAATGCATGAACCGGACTGCTTCAAGGGCGAATATAAGCTGGAGTGACATTTTAAAGGTGAATACAAGCTAGAGTGACATTGAGAGGCATGAACCAGAACTGCTTTATGGGTGAATGCAAGCTAGAGTGATATTGATAGTATAGGTGATGTGTATTCCGATGTCTTATTTTAATGAAGATATCTTTTTTTATTATAATTTTATGTGGACTTGATGGTTATTTATAATATACTGCAGTGATGGCTTAAAATGAGTTTCAGGATGTGTACCGATGCCCTTTGATGCTTTCCATGCTTGTAGTTTTGCATGAGTTGTGGTGTTCATATCGTTTTGGTACAGTGGGGGTTTGCTTTCACAAAGTTAGCTTCTTCCCTTTTGCTTGCAGTCTGTGGATACTTTGGTTGTTGTTTTTTAGGGATTGGTTGTTATTTTTAGGATACCACAATGATCTTATCAGAGTTTGTTAGGTTCTATTTCTTTATTATTTTATTTCTTGCTGTAAATAGTGATATTATAGCTGATTATGATTCATCTTTATTATAGTATACTCCTTATATTCAGTACTAGTTCCTTGAGGGGAATGGTTTATGAGATTTCTGGGATCTTTTCAAACATATGCAGATAGATATATACAATCACAGATTGCTTGTTTTTTTTTTCATTTTGATGCGACACTGGTTTCTGGACGAATAAACAGATTCATCTTGGCTGAAGCAATATATACCATGTGACCATCACCATGACATTATGATTTCTGTCAAAGTTCATATGTAATTGTGCAGCAGCAATTATAGGACAATTCATTTTCGTATGCACTAAGCTTCACTACTCTACAAGTCACGTGTGTCAAATTTTCTTTATATATTTAAGAGCATGACGCCCATTGTATCAGGATGTTGCAAGAGATTTGAGATCATTTTATCTCTTGGTGTTCATCAGCATAATTCCAGCATGATGAACACCAATTGTTTTCTTAATACAAAAATAGATGCTTTAAAGCCAGAGCTGCCTTGCCCACATATAAAAAACGCCAACAAGCGACTGATGTTGGCAAGAAGAAGCTCAACTTGGTTTGCAGAAGATGACTAGCATTTACCATGAATGCATTCGTAGCAAGTTTCAGAACTTCAGAAGCATTGGTAGATATGTTGTTCATTCACTTGTTCTCATCTATCAATTCATTTGAGAACATGTTCCCCCCTGTTCATCGTCTAGATACTTGCATGCAACATGATCCTGGCTGTGATTGATCAGTTAAATTAATGTAATTTACTAATTGATATAATAAAGGTTAAAGGGGGAGAAATGTGCTCTTTTTTAATCCATTAAATTTTTAAGAAAAGGAGGGGCTTTTTTCACTGTCTGCATTTGTGAAAAATTGCAGGAATTGCAACGGCGCCGTCTGTTCGCCGGCGGCGAGCTCCGGTGCGGCACTCCCGCGAAGGGCATCACCCTCCGCCGCCGCCGCCGCCAGTGGTAAGTGCGCCGTCGCCGATCATTGAAATTTGAACATAGGGGCAGATCATAGTTGAGGGCATCCATTTTTCTTTTCTTTTTTTTTGATGGGATGGTACACTGCATTCTTGATTCTTGCAGAACATCGATCGCATACTGATCGCTTCTGATCATCATCACCTAGTTCGTGCGCTTGTGGAATCCTTTGAGTTGAGCCTCCCGCAGAGCATTGCAAGAACAAGAATCAGTTTCCCTGGTTCACTCCACCACCCCGAGAAGTTGTACGCCTTCTCATGGCAGGCAATCCCCTCCTGGTGCTGCAGCTGCCTCGAGCAGCTGTAGCCAGTGGACAACCCAATGTTCCCGTAGGCACTGTGTGCAGAAGCAATGGGTGATGAATAACTCAAAATAGTCATGGAGGTGAGCAAGAACATTATGAGAAGAATTGTGTGTGTGCAAGTGTTATTTGTTACCTTATCACCTCAAAGATGATGTTAAATGTGGATAAATTGAGAGGGTCAGTGGAGAGTGATCTCCTTTCAGTGATGCAGACCAGCATTATCACTGTGGTGTTGAAGCCGAGTGGTGAAAATGCCATCATCTTCAGGAATGGTTTCCCCTTGCTTGTTCTATCGTCGCTTTCTGGGCCGATTCGTTTGTGATCTTGACATGCTGAGAACAACTTTGTCAAGGATGGAGTGTACCTAAGAAATGTAAGCAACCATGTTATGTTATCTCTTCTGATTGTTGCCTGAGACTGTGAAGAACTTGAAAGAGAGGAACTCACATCATGACCATGAATAGTACTAAAGCCGCTGGCGCAACAAGGGAACAATCAATGGAATTTTCTCCTGCCTGCCTTGCATTCACTGCCATGAACAATGCATTGGTTATCTTCTGGAGGGAGCTGAGCCCTGCAAACACTACAGAATCCCAGTTCAAGCAGCAGAAGAGGATGACTGTCATGGCTACAAAAGCAACCTCCACAACTGCAAGAAATATTGTCTGCAAGTTAGGCAGCAGGTGACTGAAACCTACTGCGCTGCTGTTGTTCATCATGAAGTCAGGCTCTTCAGCTTTTGCTAATCTTAGTCCTCTCAATGCCCATATCACCAACCTCAGAAACACAGGGAACAGTGTGCTGCCTGCAAGAATCTGGCCAATGAGTAGCAACAGGAGGCCATTGTTTGAGGAGAATACAACCATACTCTCATTTGTCGGCAATAACCCTCCATTTGTGAATGAGGAGACTGTGACCGATATCGAGAAGAGAGCTTTGTTGATGCTTTTCCTTGTTAGCACATCTCTAGCACTTGAAACATGAGCTATGTACATGAACACCAATAGAGAACCAGTGACAAGAATAATGATCATGTATGCCAGCACCACAAACACTAAGTATTTGAGGCATCTCTTCTTGATATCAATGGAGTTCATGGATGGAGTTTGGGGAGTCGCCTCTTCTAGCTGTGATTGCTTGCACACAGTAACTGAACTGACTCTACGGTTTTCAGGATCATGCTTGTTTTGCTTGCTTGACTCAAGGACAAGGCCAAGAAAGGAAAGGAACATCTTACTGTCTAAGAACATCAAGAGAGTCAGGATAGCTATCTGAGAGCTGGAAAGATCCTCCATTTGTATGGTGGCTAATCCTATGACTGTAACTGCAGATGTCGATAGGAAAAACATATCAACATAGCGAGGATTGTACTTGTGGTTGCTTGGCCTGAGCACCACCAAGGAAACAAAACCAAGTATATCAATGATAAGAAAATAGGATAAGTGAATCAAAAGCGGGCTAAGATGGTATGCGATGAACCGACAAATGAATGCCGATGAGTTGATGGCATGCCTTGCAGAATTGACAAAGATATGCAGCCGAATAGGCATTGGAGATAGAGGGCAGAGCCTCTAGCTCCTGATTGTGTTTGTCTTGATTCAAGATGGAACTGCAAACTGCTGTGTTGAAATATAAAGGGGACAACCAATCTCAGTGAGAGTATATATACTGTGATAGTATATCTGTCTATTGGTTAATATTAGTGGAGAGGAGGAAGACATGTGCAACATGGTTGAGGTGCCTTTCAGAACATGATGTTAAGTTGCAGAGCATGCAGGTAGATACACGAATGCTTATATAAAAAGCATAGAAAGAAGTGCTCGACTGCTTGCATGCGTGCTGAATTTTTGTTCCTCTATTTGCCATACTGGTAAGGCAACTATGACTGGATAAGCAAGTGTAAAGGGTGAAAACAGCAACTGTTTGAGCAAGATGACATGTTAGTGAAAGAGCAGGCAGGCATGCTCCTCAACCAATTGACTGAAATTCTTGGCAATTGGTATGATATTGCCGACATCCGAAAGTATTAACAATTGATATCATCTCTGAATTTTTATGGAGAATAATTAGAGTACTTCTGAGATGATATGGAAAGCTTTTATGGATGTCGAAGAATCTCTGCATTTTGCATTCTGAACAAGAAAGTTAATAGAATTATTACAGTACTTCCACTTAATGTCATTTAGGTAAGTCTATCCACCTTACTCTCTTTTGGTGCAAGTTATTTTGAATTTGGTTATTGCCTTGAGTATGTCTTGCACTGATGATCCAGAAAGAGATTGCAGCTACTACTGATCGATAGCACTGGAGCATGTTTAGCTGTTACCAAATTCATGGCTAGGATGCATTCTGATGCCATGCTTCAAAGGGCATGTACAGAAACCACTGGACAGAAATCGTTCCTCTAGCAGCCACTGCTCTATTCAGTTCCTTGCTGACCATGGTACACCATAAATGCAAGCATGCTGTTACAACCCAACTCATCCAGACAAAGGACGATTGTTCGAGTGGACAAGCATTTCTGGACTGAAACTGGAGGTAAACTCGTGATCTATTATATACTAAAATTCCATTAAACGTCCTATAAACACTTCTAAGCCACCACATGGACTCCTACAAACACTCCTCATTCGCTACATGGCACACCATTAAATTAAGAAAATCCTATAAATTCTGAGAAAAAAAAAGCAAAACATCACATCCTTAATTTTCACTTAAAACGGTGGACTCATTATCGTAGACTATTAGATGTATATCTATCTATTAAAAAATAAATCTGCGAATCCTTAGCCCTCGCATGTCACATGCCCTATGCATACCATCGGGCTTTCCTTGCGCCTCTCCTCTTTTTTAACTAAGGGTTGGGTTAATTGGATCAATAGATCCATGCCACTGCAAATATGGAAAATTAGAAAAATGCCAATACTATTCGCGATATCGACTAGGTGCCACTAAAATTTTGAAAAATTGAATCCATGCCACTCCATCGCGTTTCCCGTCATTCTTCCCGTCCTTCCCGTCACTCTTTCCAGGAGGCCAAGGGCATGGAGGCCAGCGTCATGGGCGGGGGACGGCGGAGCCGATGGGTCGAGGAGGCGGAGCGACGGAGTTGCCGGAGCCGCCGCTTTCTCCGACGCATTCCGTCGATGAAGCTGTTGGAATTAATAGATGGGCTAAGGCCCATTCAAGAATTAATTCTTTGGAAAATCACAAAAGCCCATCTCATGGGATGGCATGCATGTGGAGTTTAGTACCACCTTGCTTATTCTAGGAGAGGGGGACCTCCTTAAAAGGGAGGATGCCCTCTTAGTTTACATGTGTAGATCTAATGATGCGTTCATGCTAGTTTACATCTGCAATGTCATGATTTATTTATGGAATATATTAAATCATTATATGCATATAATCTCAACAATCCAAAAACCTTATTATAGGCGCTGTGATTTTACTATGGCTGGTATTGCCGATGCACTGAGGCCGGATAAATTCACCGGTGTGCACTTTAAGAGATGGCAGATCAGGGTCACTATGTGGCTGACAGCTATGAAATGCTTCTGGGTGAGTACTGGCAAACCTGAAGGAATTCTTACTGCTCAACAGCACCGGTGTGCACTTTAAGAGATGGCAGATCAGGGTCACTATGTGGCTGACAGCTATGAAATGCTTCTGGGTGAGTACTGGCAAACCTGAAGGAATTCTTACTGCTCAACAGCAGAAGCAATTCGAGGAAGCCACTACTCTCTTTGTGGGATGCATTCTTAGCGTTCTTGGCGATCGTCTGGAACGAGGTGTATATGCACATGACCGACGCTAAGGAGTTGTGGGATGCACTGAATACTAAATTTGGTGCTACTGATGCTAGCAATGATCTGTACATCATGGAGGAGTTTCATGACTACAGGATGGTTGACAACCGTTCTGTAGTCGAACAGGCTCATGAGATACAAACCATGGCTAAGGAACTCGAACTCCTTAAGTGTGTCTTACCCGACAAATTTGTGGCAGGGTGCATTATTGCGAAACTACCTCCATCTTGAAGAAGTTTCGGTACTGCACTCAAACACAAGAGACAGGAATACTCCATTGAGGGGTTGATAGCGTCTCTTGATGTTGAGGAGAAAGCTCGGGAAAAGGACGCCGCGTCTAAGGGCGATGGTGGGCAGTCCAGTGCCAATGTTGTGCACAAGGCCCAGAACAAGAGCAAGGGGAAATACAAAGCTCAACAGACCACCAACTTCAAGAAGCAGAAGAAGAACAACAACAATCCTAATCAGGATGAGAGGACTTGCTTTGTGTGTGGCCAACCTAGTCATCTAGCTAGGAAGTGTCCACAGCGCAAGGGGATGAAGGCACCTGCAGGGCAGACTTCTAAGTCTGCTAATGTGACCATTGGCAATACTGGAGATGGAAGCGGGTATGGTAATTTACCTACTGTTTTTTCAGTTAATCAGTCTACTAATTGGTGGGTTGATACTGGGGCCAATGTACATGTTTGTGCTGACATCCCATTGTTTTCTTCTTATCAGGTTGCACGGGGTTCCACCGTCCTAATGGGGAATGGGTCACATGCTCCTGTTCATGGTGTTGGCACGGTAGATCTGAAGTTTACTTCGGGAAAGATCGTGCAACTGAAGAACGTGCAGCATGTCCCTTCTATCGACAGGAATCTTGTTAGTGGCTCCCGTCTGACTAGAGACGGATTTAAGTTGGTTTTTGAGTCTAATAAAGTAGTCGTGTCTAAACATGGATATTTTATTGGTAAAGGTTATGAGTGCGGAGGCTTGTTCCGCTTTTCCCTTTCTGATTTCTACAATAAGTCTGTGAACCATATTTGTGGCAGTGTGGATGATGAGGCTAATGTTTGGCACTCACGTTTATGTCATATTAATTTTGGCTTGATGTCTCGGCTTTCCAGCATGTGTTTAATTTCTAAGTTTTCCATTGTCAAAGGTTTTAAGTGCCATAGTTGTGTGCAATCGAAGCAACCTCGCAAGCCTCACAAGGCTGCCGAGGAGAGAAACTTGGCACCACTAGAACTCCTACATTCAGATCTTTGTGAAATGAATGGGGTGTTGACGAAGGGTGGAAAACGATATTTCATGACGTTGATTGATGATGCTACTAGATTTTGCTATGTGTACTTGTTAAAAATGAAAGACGAGGCTCTAGACTATTTTAAAATTTATAAGGCAGAAGTTGAAAATCAAATTGACAGAAAGATAAAAAAACTCAGGTCTGATCGTGGTGGAGAGTTTTTCTCAAACGAGTTTGACTTATTCTGTGAGGAACATGGCATCATACATGAGAGGACGCCTCCCTATTCTCCCGAGTCTAATGGGATTGCTGAAAGGAAGAACCGCACACTGACTGACTTGGTGAATGCCATGTTGGACACCGCGGGACTACCTAAGGCATGGTGGGGGGAGGCATTGTTGACCTCGAATCATGTGTTAAACAGAGTTCCTAACAGAAATAAGGACAAAACACCATATGAGATATGGATTGGGAGAAAACCATCACTTTGTTATTTGCGCACATGGGGGTGCTTGGCGAAAGTCAATGTACCAATAACGAAGAAGCGCAAACTTGGACCTAAGACTGTGGACTGTGTCTTTCTGGGATATGCTCATCATAGCATTGCCTATAGATTTTTAATAGTTAAATCTGAGGTACCTGACATGCATGTTGGTACAATTATGGAGACTCGTGATGCTACCTTCTTTGAGAGCTTTTTCCCAATGAAGGATACACATAGTAGTTCTAGCCAACCTTCTGAAATAATTCCCAGTTCAATCACACCACCAGAACAAACTGAATATACACATGAACATGTCACTGAGGAGGATGGCAGTGAAGCTCCTCGAAGGAGTAAGAGACAAAGGACGGCTAAGTCCTTTGGTGATGATTTCACTGTGTACTTCGTGGATGACACTCCTAAGTCAATTTCAGAAGCATATGCATCTCCTGATGCAGACTACTGGAAGGAGGCTGTCCCTAGTGAAATGGATTCCATTATCGCTAACGGGACTTGGGAGGTGACAGAGCGACCCTATGGGTGTAAACCTCTGGGGTGCAAGTGGGTGTTCAAGAAGAAGCTTAGGCCTGATGGTACTATTGAAAAGTACAAGGCTCGGCTTGTTGCTAAGGGCTATACTCAGAAAGAAGGCGAAGATTTCTTTGACACTTACTCACCTGTTGCTAGATTGACCACAATTCGTGTGCTACTTTCCCTAGCAGCCTCACATGGTCTTCTCGTTCATCAAATGGACGTTAAGACAACTTTTCTTAATGGAGAGCTGGATGAGGAGATCTATATGGATCAACCTGATGGGTTTGTAGTTGAAGGTCAAGAAGGCAAAGTGTGCAAATTATTGAAGTCTTTGTATGGTCTGAAACAAGCTCCTAAGCAATGGCATGAGAAATTTGACAAAACATTGACATCCGTAGGCTTTGCAGTCAATGAGACAGATAAATGTGTGTACTATCGCCATGGTGGGGGTGAGGGAGTTATTATGTGCTTGTATGTTAATGACATACTGATATTTGGGACAAACCTTTAGGTGATAAATGAGGTTAAATCATTCTTGTCTCAAAATTTTGATATGAAGGATTTGGGAGTAGCTGATGTTATCCTAAACATTAAGCTAATTAGAGGTGAGAATGGGATTACACTCTTGCAATCCCATTATGTGGAGAAGATCTTGAATCGCTTTGGCTACATTGATAGTAAGCCTTCTCCAGCACCTTATGATCCTAGCTTGTTGCTTCGCAAGAACAAGAGAATTGCTAGGAATCAACTGGAATATTCCCAAATCATTGGCTCGCTGATGTACCTGGCTAGTGCAACTAGGCCTGATATCTCCTTTGCTGTGAGCAAGTTGAGCCGGTTTACCTCTAATCTAGGAGATGATCACTGGCGTGCGCTTGAGCGAGTAATGCGCTATCTGAAAGGTACTATGGCATTGGGGCTTCACTATACTGGATATCCTGCGATACTGGAGGGTTATAGTGATTCTAACTGGATCTCTGATGTGGATGAGATCAAAGCCACTAGTGGATATGTCTTCACACTGGGTGGTGGTGCTGTTTCGTGGAGGTCTTGCAAACAGACCATTTTGACGAGGTCAACCATGGAAGCAGAGTTGACGGCACTGCATACTGCTACTGTTGAGGCAGAATGGCTGCGTGATCTATTAATGGATTTGCCTATTGTTGAAAAAATGGTGCCGGCTATCTTTTGAACTGTGACAATCAAACGGTAATTGTCAAAGTGAATAGTTCTAAGGATAATATGAAATCGTCTAGACATGTGAAAAGACGATTAAAGTCTGTCAGGAAATTGAGAAACTCTGGAGTTATAACGTTGGATTACATCCAAACAGCTAGAAACCTGGCAGATCCCTTCACAAAGGGACTATCACGAAATGTGATAGACAATGCATCGAAGGAGATGGGTTTGAGACCCATGTGAGTTATACTATGGTGGTAACCCATTCTATGTGATTGGAGATCCTGTGAATTAGAACCTGGGAAGAACAAACCATCAGTAAACTAGAGGAGAGTACCAATATATACCCTCTCTAAGTGAAGATGCATATACTCTCGTGAGCTGCAAGGCAGGTTGGCTATGCTTTAATGAGTTCTGTTGGCTTTAATTAGCAAAGATGTTGTCCTGCAGAGCATTTTTGAAAGAACTCACCTTTGTGAGCTTGTTGGTCGCAGTCTATGAAGATTTTGGGTGAATCTTCTAGGAAGCTTACTAAAGACCTAGGAGTATGACTTATACACTCCACCCGAGGGGTAGTCTACAGACGGTCTAGTACCAGATAAGACTCTGAGTGAAACTTGCTTGCACAAGACTTGCAATTCAAGGCGTAGTCCATTGTTCAAGTTGTGAGTAAGTGTAGCTTGAAGTTCTAGATGGATGTTCAACCTTAATCGGTCTCCATCGAACCGCTGGTATATAAACAGTACATTGGAAAAGGCAAATCTCAGTGGGATTTTGAGATTTGGTGGGGGATTGTTGGAATTAATAGATGGGCTAAGGCCCATTCAAGTATTAATTCTTTGGAAAATCACAAAAGCCCACCTCATGGGATGGCATGCATGTGGAGTTTAGTACCACCTTGCTTATTCTAGGAGAAGGGGACCTCCTTAAAAGGGAGGATGCCCTCCTAGCCACTTGAAGCATGTGTGGTGGAGAGAAGAGGGGAAACACACGCGCGCGCTCGCTCGCCTGGCCTGGCCTGGCAAGGCAGGCGGCGCGCGTTAGCAGCCGGGAGGCGGGAGAAGGCATCGGCGGCTGGATCTGGTGACCGGCGGTCAGGAGGTGGCGGCGGCATCGATGTTGAAGGCCCCGCGGTGACCGGCGGTCCGGCGGTCAGGAGGTGGCGGCGGCATCGATGTTGAAGGCCGCGGGGCCCGACCTCCTGGAGGTCGACGGTGGGCGAAGGAGGTGGCGACCCCGAGCTCCTAGAGGACGCCGAGGGGCGAAGGAGGTGGTGACGCAGCCGGCGCACGGTTGAGGGGAGAGGCGATGGTGGAGGAAGAGAGAAGAGATAAGAGAGAAAGAAGAGAGAAAAGAGATGGGTTGTGGGCGGTGGGGGTGGGTTGGGGTGGTGGGCGGTGTGGGAGGGTTGGGGTTTCCGTTTTTATAAGTGAAAATTGATTGAATATATGAGGTGAGGTTACTCACCTTTGACGGGTGTAAACTTAAAACCCGTCACAGGTAAGTACTCATCAGTGACGGGTTTATATGTGGACACGTCACAATCATTATGTGTTGGGTCCTTATATATACCCGTCAGAGGTGAGTATTTACCTGTGACGGATCATTTTCTTTAGCCTCATCTATGACGAGATTTATTTTAACCCGTCAAAGGTGATAGTATCTGTGACGAGATATTTTGGTCCGTCACAGATAGGTCGTCAAAGATGGGCTGATCTGGCGTAGTGGCTGGTGGACACGTACCTCGCCGAGCTCCTTCGCCACCGCTCGGCCGAAGTTGGAAAACGGCACGGAGTTAGGAAATTAATGGGGAGTGAATGAAAAACGTGACGGAGTGGCATGGATCTAATTTTTCGAAATTCCAGTGGCACCTAGCCGATATCATGAATAGTAGTGGCGTTTTCCTAATTTGATATATTTGTAGTGGTATATGGATCCAATTAACCCTTGTTTAAAATAGAGAGAATCTAATCTATACCACCGAGTTTGTTTGAGTTCAACAATTTGCCATCGACATTGTCATTTTGTATAATATAGTGACGACTTTATTAATTTTCCTACAATACGCCATTAGGTTAGGTATTTTTTTCAAAAATACCCGAAATACCCTTATGGACATACAAAGTTAACAATTGATTTATCTAATTTAAAGTTTTAAAAAATGAAAACTTTTATGAGGACTGCTTACACAACATGAAAGTTTGAATACAAGTTTCAATTTTTTTGGTATATTTAGTTTTTAGAAAAAAATATTTTTATGTGGTATGTGGGAGAGAATCTGGTTATACAAGACATAATAGCATTAAAATATCTTATGTAGCGTATGAAAGAAGTTTCAAGCTTTTTATATTTCTATTTTTTTAAAAAAATATAACTTATTTATTATATGCTATATAAATACGTTTTTCTTGTTGTTTTTATTATGAATCATCTTTCATACACTACATAAGATATTTTAATGCTATTATGTCTTGTATAAGCAGATTCTCTCTCATACCACATAAAAAAATATTATTTCTAAAAACTAAATATACCAGAAAAAATTTGAAACTTGTATTCAAACTTCCATGTTGTGTAAGGAGGCCACATAAAAAAATTATATTTTTTTGAAACTTCTGATAAGATAAATCAATTGTTAATCTTGTATGTTTCTAAGGGTATTTTGGTTATTTTTGAAAAGAAGGTCTAGCCCAATGGCATATTGTAGAACAATTGATAAAGTCGCCGGTATATTATAGAAAGAGACAATATCGATAACAAATCGTTGAACTTGAATAAGGCTGTGTTTAGTTCACACCAAAATTGAAAGTTTGGTTGAAATTGGAACAATGTGACGGAAAAGTTGGAAGTTTATGTATGTAGGAAAGTTTTGATGTGATGGAAAAGTTGGAAGTTTGAAGAAAAATTTTGCAACTAAACACGGGCTAAACTTAGTGGTATAGAATAGATTCTCTCTTTAAAATATGGTTGCATGAATTGTTAGTGCTACTTAATCTAGATCCATACTGCGCTGAAAAATGTGATCATGAGACCACAAGAATCATATGTAGCACCAATAGTCTTCTCGTGTTCACATTGAGTTCATTCAAGGACAAGTTTACCAAGCTTCTCATGAGAAAAGAATGGTTGACAAATCTAAAAGAAAAATTTTCAGAAATTTATTTGTCTGTTGATATTGCCAATGACATAACAAAAACTTGTTGAGCTTGTCGAAGGATTTTGAGGATTTATGTCATGGGAGGTTACGCGACAAACGTGTCCAGTGGACATTTGGATTAAGTTCAGTTCCTTCTAAACTGAATTATTTAAGGCTGCAATGCGTGGATTTCATTCGAAGTTTCAGAAGCTCACTCAAATTACCAAAGTTTGTGGAAAGGAAGTTTCTTGAGGACTTCTGCATCAAACATGCTAAAGTCATCATTTCTACAACTTAGTCAACTTTTCGGCTCCATGAAGCAGCTATGGAACCAATCAATTTATTAATAGTAGATGATGCAGCCAAAATCAACGAATGCGACCTCATTATTCCATTGCGCCTGCTGGTGACACACATTTTGATGCTAGGCGACGACTTCAATTTGCAGCCAAGCAAGGTAATCTTTTCTTTCTGATTTTCTAGTGTATTCGTTTACATGACTAGACAGTAAACTAGACAATATTAATGCTGGCTGATGCAAATGATATATCTTATTGATGAAATGGTTAGGTACGGGAAAATGCCAGGTTTACTATGAGTCCTTTCAAAAGATTGCTCAATTTGGGTTTTCGGAAGCATATGCTCACTGAGCAATATGCAATTCATCCATCAATCTGGCAGTTCCGCAATGAGAAATTTTATGAAGGGAGAATCACAAATGGTGCGACTGTATTTCTCCTGAATACAACAAAAAATTCAAAGGTCTTAAATTTCCCAATTATTGCTTTATTGATGTCACTGGAACAGACGGGCCTAGCTGCAAAGAGAAAAACACCATTGAGCTTGCCACAATCCAATACATGCTTGAGATCATTTCCAAGGTATGTCTTCTAGATAGCTGTCACTTGTAGTTGTTTGAGGCTGTTTTTGCAGCAATACTATAAAGACCTTAATTTACGTTCTTTGTAAAAAAATTGTTCAGGTCTGGAAGATACTGAAGTGATTGATGTTGGTGTCCTGTGTCTGTGTGGCAGCAATATTAGTGAAATCAAAAGTTCTCTCAGACAAAAATATGCTTCTCACAATAAAATCAATGTGCACATTGAGTCTGCTGATAGTTTTGAAGGAGAAACTTATCAAGTGGTTATTCTATCAATGCTTTTCAAAGACGAGAACACGATTCTTCAGATTGAAAAGATCAATGCTGCAATTACCAAAGCAAGGTTCGTTAAAAATATTGAATTCAAAATTTGATTCGGCTGTATATGTTACTTTAGCTTCTAATAACAGCTATATATATTGGCTGCATTTTTCCTTTCATATAGACACTGTTTGTGGATGTTTGGTGAAGCTGCTAGTGTATCTGCTAGAGGGGGAGTCTTCAGAGAATTAGTTGATGATATGATAGAGCGAAAGTGTATATTGAAATGGAACACTATCGCTACAAGTCAATCAAAATATGCACTTGAATCTGATGACTTCCATGGTTCTAGCTCTGCAAGTTCAAATGAAACCATACACCAGGTAAAGTTTATATACTGTAAAAGAAAAGGAAACATATTCTTTTTATTTCCTAAAAAAGGATACCCGTTAGAAGAAATTTTGGTTCGTTTTCATGGCATTTGCAATGCAGCATGAAATAAGTGTTAAAATTTTGTGTTACCGATTTTTCCTTATTATGATGTTAGAAAACCTTTTCTTTTCAAAGAGCCAGGGGAAACTTAATTTTACCCTCTGTTTGTATCCCAGCCCTGTGTGCAATGATGTGCAAATTGTATCTTTCTGATGTGTAATGTGAAACCAGATTATGCTAATTTATTTGCGAGTGTTATTTAAAATAAGCTTTTACACACATTACTCTCATCACAATTTATTCTACAATGACAATATGTAACAATTTCCATCAAAAGAAGTGTAACAGTCACATATTTATTTTTGCCCTATATTTTAGGTATGCAAAGAATTCACATGGTCTGGGAGACCTAAGACGACAAAATATATCTAGCACTTCTGCGTGACCAAGGAAATTCTGGTACACATGAAGTATCTTGAAATTCTTCCTTGCTGTTGTTTACTTGTTATTTGATTTCACATCCACATGCAAAGATTTTACAGTTGGATCATCTTACTTCTCTAACAGATACATGCACAATGCATTCCTGTTTGGGAGCAATGGAGTCCATTTACAAACACCAGTATGCTTGTTTGGAACCACCACAGGACTTCAGTTGGATTTTATCCACTGATAATTTGATGGAAGAATACAAGGAAGTTGTTGGAAAAGAAATTAGAATCATCGACTTGCTACTGTACTGCAAATTCTAGAAGAATGTGGTGTCCTAGGCAGAAGAAAGCAACAACCTGAGGTAATATCTGTTTTAGATGTATCATGTCATGTGTTGTTTGATAGGCTAAAGTGTGCCTTTATAGTCATTTTATTTTAGTTGTTACTTCAAAAATTACAGGCGCTCTTGGATCAAGCACAGTAGCACTACTTCATCTGTTTATGTTCATAAATTTTGCAAATAGAAAATATGCACTAGTTGATGGCTATATTCCTGCAAAGTGATTGTATTTTGCATATTCCTATGCCCTGCTTTCTGAGTTACAAGCCACACCATGATTTTCAGAAACAAAAGGAATAAGGCCTAAAAGGAGGATCATATGTAAGGTTTAGTGAGGTTACCAAGCTGCAATTCATGATTTTAATTAGTTGGTATGCAATCATCCATTTGTTTATCTCCTGGACAAAAATAACTCACAAGAATATCCTGCACATAATCCTATTGTAACCACAATTCCATATTTTGTTAGTAAAAATACACATTTCCGGTGTTCTTGAAACAATTAATTAATATCATATCAGGAAGATGCAACACCTTGTATGAGCAATTGCATTCTGTCACACCAAGATGCCCTTCTTTGTCGACTTTCTTATCAATATCATAAGTATCGGACGCTTCAGTGGCCATTCCTCATGGTTGTCCTGGAAATTTCAGTGGAATTAAAGTTTAAACCTTCAAGACTGGACTAGTGTTCCAGAAAGGTTTGGAAGCATAATATGATGTGCATCTATTTTTAAACTGTCCTCCTAGTCATATATTAGTGAATCTGCCATAACAAAGTAGCCTTAGAAACTATTTAAACATTATTTTCATTTTCATATCTAGTGTTTGCGCTTTGGTCAAGGAATTGAGGTTGTAGTACCTCTTTGATCCAGTTCTCAATTGTTTACTTGTTTCTTCCCACAAAGGCACAAACTGCATTTCTTGCTACACTTCTTGTCCATAATTCCATATAGATATGGAATCAATAGGGTATTTCCATCAAAATCCAGTAGTCCACTTTTCGTTCCCTGTCTTTCAAAATTAACATTCCTTTATTAATTTTCCTCATGATCAATTCTTAGGCCTGACAATATTGTTCATTATTTTACCTTGACTCTAAGTTTTGACTCTTTTGCAGGTTGCAAGTAATTTCAGAATCAAATCCCAACCTCAACTTCCCATCAAGAAGGACCAAGAGATAAAAACCGTCTTCAATACTGTCAAGAATGGAAAATTTCCAGTGGCACATTTCCGCATGTCGGAAAACTTCTTCTCCTTAAGGCCAGGGGAGATTGGCCACTATGACTACCAGAAGCCCTACCTTCATCCCGTGTGTTCTTTACTAGCTTCTCATGCAGTGATGATAATTGGCTCAGCGATGACCATGACAGAGGTGAATAAGAGAAGAGAAAACAGTGCGCTATCCATCTGAGCCTACAGAATAGCGCGGGCAGTCTGTTTGGCGAGAATGGTAGTGGTTACGTTGGGTTGGAATCTATACGAGGCCTGTATCAACTCGATCTTTGAAACTGTGCTACTTCTCTAGCTAGCTGCTGCTCCTGCTACTTTTAATACGTTGCCAACTTGCAATGTAGCCCGATTCAGGCATCTTTTTGTGCCCAGGTTTTGATGCTTTTACTGGAGTTTAATTTGTATATGTATCACATTTGCAGTGAACTTGCATCGTTCCTGGGTCAACCTGTCAAATGCCCAAATTGGTTGCCCATTGGCCTCCTTCCAACTTAACTTACAATCATGTCAATAACCCTTAAGAAGATTTGTGTCTACCGCTCGCAGCTTCAAGAGGTCATAGAGATTGTCGAAGCCTATTAAAATATAGCCAGATGGCCCAAGAAATGGCTCTGGGCCATAAAAACCCAATATCTATGTCTCTCTATTCTTTCTCCTTGAGTTCGACTTCTCTATGTAGTACCCGTGCAACTCTCAGTAAGTTTGATCCATCTTGGTAAGCTCGTGGTCTCCAACCAATGGCATGCCTAACTGGAGCTGCTCTGAGCTAGGCTCTTAGGACAATCTGATACCTCCTTGCCTATATCTAGCTTCTTGGGAGCCAATGTTGAGTTGTGATCCAAATTCATTTACACACATATAAAGGCCAACTTCGGTCGGAGCAAGCGGAGGCCCGTCGCCGAAGGCTACAACAAGTAATACTTAAGAAGTTTTGTGTCCACCGCTCGCAGCTTCAAGAGGTCATAGAGATTGTCGAAGCCTATTAAAATATAGCCAAATGGCCCAAGAAATGGCTCTGGGCCATGAAAACCCAATATCTATATCTCTCTATTCTTTCTCCTTGAGTTCGACCTCTCTATGTAGTACCCGTGTAACTCTCGGTACGTTGGACCCATCTTGGTAAGCTCGTGGTCTCCAACCAATGGCATGCCTAACTGTAGCTGCTCTGAGCTAGGCTCTTAGGACAAACTGATACCTCCTTGCCTATATCTAGCTTCTTGGGAGCAAATGTTGAGTTTATATAGTGAAGATTTGCTGGCTGGCGCCCGTGGTTTTTTCTCTCGTGCCTTAGGAGGGTTGTCCACGATAAATCTCGTGTCTTCTGTGATTGATCTGTCGTTCTTCATCGTTTATCTGCCGATCATTTCCTAACAGCCAAGAGTGAGGTTGTCACCTTTCCTTTCCTTTCCCTCTACTGGCTTTTTTGCTAGATACCGCTGGTGGAGAAGAATGTGCCTTGCTCTTTTTCTGAGGAGGGGAGAATGTTAGCCATATCGTCAGCTTCCACAAAATCAAACCCAAAATCAATATCATCTTGTGGTGCGCCTTCGATGGTAGGAGGGGCTGAACGAGCTGGAGTGGAGATAGGCGATGGAGCTCGTGGTGCATTTGACTTAGGAACCATCCTTATGACAATTTGATCCTTAGGCCATTGGATAAAGGTCCCACGTGTAGCTCCCAGTTTCAAAATTTAGTCGTTTTGTGGGATCTCTAGAGGTCAGTTGACTTGATCATGTCAACTTGGACTTTGGCATGCCCAGCCACCAAATCCACCCCGTGCACTTTGGTTTTTGGGGTAGGCTTGAAAACTGAAAGGGCATTGATGTTGCCTAGAGGGGGAGGGGGGTGACGTGCGCTAAGATCTTAGGGGGTGTGTTCCTAGACATTTGCCTATGTGGCTGGGTAAGTTGGGCCGACGGGGACGTCGGGTCCTTTGATGGGGAGTGTATGTGACATCCTGGCCCAATTAGGATGAGGCCTGTGTGGCCCATGTGAGCTGTGTGCGCATGTTTATTACCATCTTGCTAGTTTAGCACGAGTGGAACCAACTTATAAGGCCTCTTCCCTCCAACCATGTTACTCCCGGGTTAACCCTTTTACACGAAGCGAGGACGAAAGTGTAAGTGGGGTGGTATGTGTAAGTGGGCCCGCCCGTCGGTTGGGCTGGCTACGTGGTTCTGGAGGGAGTACTATTACAAAGTATGTAAAGAAACTTAAAGTCTAAACAATCAAGTAATTAACCACTTTTTAGGATGGTAGATGCCTTTGCTATAGTCGATATCAGTGAGAACCCTAAAGCGAGAACCAGCCGATAGGGCAACCACTTTTTAGGGTGGTAGATTCCTTTGCTAATCTAATCTAGCAAGATGATTTAGTCGATATCAGTGAGAACCCTAAAGCGAGAACCAGTCGATAGGGCTAAATCGGGATACTAAGACTAGATTACTTAAGACATATGATAGCAAATGGTCATGATAGAAGGACTAAAATATCTAAATCGACATAATAGCTCCAATAGCACAAGTCATCGAGACAAGTTACCTCTTATCGAGAGAACTCGCCGAAAAGAAGAACAAAAAGGGTGGCGATGCGCCAAAGTTGTATTGCATTTGTCGTCCCTTTTTTACAATGATCTCGGGTTCATATTTATACCCCGAGTACAAACTTAGTCCATTATAGACACGACTCAAACTTTCCTAAAGATAAAATACAAACAAGACCACACGGTGGTCTCTTACCATATCTCTAACAAAAACCGACATAAATATCCTAATTAATAGATACAATTGCCTTAATCAAGCTCCAATTGCGGTTATCTTAGTCTAGGCCCAAACCAAGCCCCAAGTCATACCATATCGGTTGCTTGCCATATCGGCTAGGCTAAGCATTTGCTCTGTTTTTAGCCGATATGATGTCCAACCGATGCACAGTCTGACTCTGAATTCAACTCGATTCTGCACCAAATCCGCTTCGAACTTTCTTCTACCTCTCCGAGTCTGATGCAAAATTCCGTTGTTATCAATACCCGAGCCTCTCAAAACTAGCCGTTGGAGGCCAAGATTCCATTTTTCGGAATTTCCGAAATGCATTTCGGGCAAATCCAAAAATCAACAGAAGACAATCTCAATATCGCAGCCATTTTTGGAATTTCCGAAATATTTTCGGACTTTCCGGAATTTTTTCGGATTTTCCGAAAAACACATGGCAAAACGGCCATAACTTTTTGCTCGTAAGTCCGTTTGATGATCTTGGACTCTATGGAAAGCTCACAAAGAGAACTACTCAAATCAACCAAAAGGAATGTCTAAAACCACTCAAAGGATGGGTCACTTTGAGCAATGAGACATACACAAACACATCGACGTTACATCCCTCTTAATAGTACAACATTCCTATACTCAAATTGATGGAGCTTGGGGCTCCTCACCGGGAGACCGCGCAGGTCCCCCTTTGCCGGTTCGGCCGGGGGCCCTGGGTGAGGTTCTAAGCTCCTGGTCTGTGTGTGGAAGGTTCGCGAGAATGGAAAAAGCACAAGACACGGGCGATGTATACAGGTTCGGGCCGCTGAGAAGCGTAATACCCTACTCCTGTGTTTTGGTGGATCTGTGTATGGAGAAGCTACAAAGTGCCAGCCAGCCCCCGATCGTTCTGGGATCGTTTTTTTTTTTCTTTTCTAAGTGGGCAAGGTCCTCCTTTTATATCTCAAGGGGATACCACATGCCCCATCTCTCTCTTTTTTGTGGGGACTTATCCTATCTTTTCATAAACAGACGGAGACTTGTATGGTTGCCGTCCGAATGACCTTCTGATGGGACGGCCCACACCTACCTCCACTTCCGCCGGAACAGGCGCGACGTGGGAACATGGCTGTCTGCTGACGACATGACCAGTGTCAGACCGGTCACAAATCGGTCATTCTTGTCGACCACGTGTCAGTTTATCAATCTGCATTTCGCCCTTCTTCATACAATATCTTGCCTGTAATGGTTAGGATGAAGCCTGGCATATATCTGACCGGAACCAACGTGCCATCTCCAGGAGCTAACACGCCGGCTCCGGCTAGGGACGAGTGCTTGGAGGCTCTCGTCCTGACGGGATGGGGCGAGGCGTGCGTCAGACCGCCTGTCGCCACCTAACCCACGATCTGACCGGTCTGGTCACAGACCGGATAAACGAGTGCGCTGCACTGCGTTACATGCGGCGTGATGCGCTCGTCCAAACCGCAATAAATGTGGTTAGGTGAGCCCCGCTATGCTCACCTACCCCATATACGCGGCGCAAAACCCACAAGGGGTCGGGGCGCCTTGGCCCTCGGGGCCGAGACAGGAGCGGTCCGACCCCTCGGGAAGACAAAGAGAAGGGCGGCCGTATCACCCTCGGGCCCGACCCCCCCCCCCCCCGAGGGGGTTAGGCCACGTGGGTGATCGTGTCTGCCTCAAGTCTCTAAGTCATGATACTCCCGGTCCCATGTCACCGACAGTAGCCCCCGGCGTTATGCCAGGGCGATCGCCCTCCTCGAGGGAAGCGGTCGGGTGTGACGCCACTTCCTAAGGCCTGGTGACAGGTGGGACCGGTCTCCACAGTTGGGCAGAAACCCAACGGTCGCAAATCACGCACATCGGCAATGGTTACTCGGCTGTCAATAATGAGCGGTCTCTTCAAGACTGCCACATTACTCGAGTAACACGGGAATCGGGACAAGCCGGTTCGTTTTTCCTGGAGATATGATGATGGCGCTTCGGTCGGCGAGCGTGATTAACGCGCGCACGAGATGTTCCATCTCGACTGCCACAGCCGCATATCCACCTCATGCACCGCAAACGGGCGAATGGGATTAGTGGAAGCGTGGGCGCGAGAAACGAGGGGGCAGATAGTGGGCGCGAGAAACGAGGAGCCGGGCATAGCGTTGGCAAGGGTATAAAGTCGCCGAGGAAGAGATTTGCTTCCTTCCTTTCGCCATTATTCCCCTTGTCTTCGCCGCTTACGCCCTGACTCCTTGTTTCCTGTGCCCTACCTTCGCCACACGCGCTCGCTCTCAAACATCTCTTCTTCCGGCGTCATGGCACGGGGCTCCGCTCCGCTTGACGGTAGCGTGCTGCCGCCTTCCCGCATCGTGAGCGAGAGACAGGCCGGGCTGCCGCGCCGCTTCATGCCGGAATCTGCCACCGGCCGGGAGATAGTCTCGCTGGGCGAGGGATGCCCGGCGCCACGCTACCCGGGGCGGTCTGTCTTCTTCCTCCCTTTTGCTATGGCAGGGCTGGTTCCGCTATTTTCTTCTTTCTTCATGGATGTTCTGGAGTTTTACGATCTCCAGATGGCGCACCTCACCCCCAACGCGGTAATGACCTTGGCCATCTTCGCGCACCTGTGCGAGATGTTCATCG